AAAGAAAACAGAAAAATAAAGCAGAGAGCAAGGAACAAAAAAAAAACTTAGGAGTTTCAAGGGAAGATGCTGAATCAAGTGAGATTATAGGGCAGGATGTTTTGTTCTGTTCCACTATTTCTGTCTGTATGTTTAGTTTTGTTTATTGGTGTGACACTGTGTGGATAAAAGAAGCTGTGTAAAGGAACAATAAATTATGTGATAGAAATAAAGAAGCCATTTTGAACAAGAGCTTCCCAAAGTTTTTAGAAGAGGAATTGAAGAACATTTTCTTTAAAAGAACAAAGCATTTTTCAGTAGGGAAAATAATTGCTTACTCTGGAATGTGAGCTGGGCACTGGATAATGTGAGCTGATCTGTAATTTAGAAAATAGCAAAGTGTTTTTCATGAGTAATTATTATTGTTAGAGCAGAACCGGGAGGCCCCTGGTGAGAGCAGGGCTCTCGTGCCACGTCCTGTGTGTCTAGCAAGAGGCAGCCACTGCCTTGGAAACCTTACAGCAAAGATGGAGCAGGCAAGGGAGGAGGAGGAGGGAAGAGGTTGAGGCACTGAGGGCTGAAAGAGGCAGCTCAAAGTCTTGCTGCTCACAAATAAACCCAGGGCTCTTGAATACTAATGGACACGGCTGCCTCCTGCTGATAAGTTGCCCATAGGCACCCCGTCTGGGGTTGTTGGGACAGTCACATGTCACCTTTTCATAACCTGGCACCCCTTATCAAGGACAATGGCCATGGTTTAAAGCTGGGTCTTGCAAAGCATCAGTGTATTTTCCTGCCATTGGCTTATGTGAAAGCAGAGCATAGGAAGGATCAGTGCCCTGCACAGGCTGCACTGCACTGGAATCAGGATATGTGGCTCCTCCTTAAAGCATCAGGCAAGATTCTGCACAGGGGGGCTGTAGGTGAGAATATACATCCTTAGGGCCACATGATTTGATGGTAAACTCTTCACTTGCCTTTAATGTGGTCAAATGACTGTATGGTGTTTTAGACTACAAAGCAGGTACTTGTGAAGTAAATCAGTGTCACTAACATTTTTTAGTGTTAATAACATTTTTGGTTTGGGAGGAAGGATGAATGAAGAGATAGAGTAGAATAAGATGCCTTTAAAAAAGTGATTACTGAGTTCTCTTACAGGAGGAGTTCCTCCTTACAGGAGGAACAGCTTAATCTTATACTGTTGCTGAGGTCAAAAGCCATGCCTTGAGAAACAGTTTTTGATCTGTTTAATAGATTTATGGTTTAGTTCAAGGAGATATGAACATCCTTCAATTGGAATAGGTGCTTTTTTAGTATACTAGGTATCAATTTTGTATAGAAAAGTAGTAGTCCTGCTTTGCTCTTTGAAATACAGAGGTCTACAGAGATCTTCCTGCAGTAGGGATCAGTTTTACCCTACTTCATCAGTAGTACTTTGCCTGGTTTGTAGTCCTTCGCCCTGCTTAGTTATTTTTGGGGTGCTCTTTTGGTTAGGATCCTTTGAGATGGTACTTGTAGTGAGTTGAGAGGAGAATAAAATTGTCCATCAAGCTAGCACCTGTATTGCTCCTTGTCCCTGAAATAAAGGGCATGTCCAGCGGCGCCTTACCACTACCAGGTGTGTGTCTGTGCACGGGTCAAAATCATCCTGATTTATACTTTATTCTCCAAGCTAACAGCTATAATGGGGAAAAAATGAGCACTTGGAATTCACAGTGCTGTTTGTCACAGCTCTGCTTCAGTGGGTGAAAATATATGTGGGGTTTTCGAGTTGGCAAAAGAGATCAGAATATTGGAGAACCTGGGAGCTGTTTGATAGCAGAGCAGTGAATTCCTCAGGGAGGCCTCCTCATCCCCACCTTTCCGGTCTTTCCACACAACACTGGGATGCAGAGGAATTAGAAAGGAGAAGGGAACACTAACTGCAAAACAGAGATGCATATGATGCACATTGAATTTGTGGCACAAACTGGGCAGTCCTCACATTATCCATGGTAAGGCTGTGGTCTGCCATGAGATTATTCAATTTTCCTTGCTTTCACTGGCATAATATTCACTACAGAAAGACTAGTGACATAATTTAATGCTATGTGAGTAGTCAATGCCTGATACACAAATAAGCATAAGAAAGAAGTGGATTCAGTATCATTTATGAGGCTGTGTTTTTCAAAAGTATGAGATGTTAGTTGGCATTTGTCAAAATATTCCCAAGTCATGAGAAGTTCATAGACTTTGTCCTTAGTTGGTGCTGTAGAATTTCTATAATTTTCCTCTCCTTAAATAAGTTGTCATGCAACCAAAAAGCAAAATGATACCATGTCTCAGTGGCTAAATACTGATAGCTCTGCTGATTCACTGGAGTGAAACTGGAGTTTCTATATGATATTATTCACATTTGATGCTTAAGTTTCTCACTGCTACTTATTTGTTCTTTTTATCCTTGGGACAACTAACAAGTTATCTGGAGCAGTCCAGAGGCCAAAGCTCAGCAAGGACTAGACACTTACGTTTTACCACAAAGTAAACACTTTGAGGCCAGGCAGTAGTTCTGCCCAGCACTTGAAGCCCGTGAGTTAAACATGAGCCTCTGCTGTGTTTTCACCCTGGGATTGCTCCTGCCTCCGTGGTGCCTCCTCTTTGCACTTTCATCTTGTGGCAGTTCATGGGAGTGCTGCCCACGGACAAAAAATGCAGGTTTTTTTAGCAGGGAAGGCAAGTTCTTTGTTTCCGCATGTAAAACATGATTTCCATTCATGCAGACTTAAAAAGAAACAGTAGGAATTCCTGAGATCTTGATTATCATGGTATAATCATATTATCAGAGAGATTAGAAGCACTTTACCGTATCTTTATGGTTTTAGTGGCACTAAAAGACATTGGACAAAATCTTCAAGTGCTGTTAAAATCTTTCTTGTAGGGCATTAAGGTAAAAGTTTTTTGCCTCCCGAAATTGGAGAGAACACATTTACTTCTTCCATCAGGGTGCTGTAGGAGTGAGCACCAGCAGAACTCGCAGTTACCAATCCCTCCCATCCCATCTGTGTTCATGAAAGCAACTTGCAACAGAAGAGAACAGAGGCCTCCTAAAATTTTAATTTCATATCCGTTCCAGTCATTGTGAAACACTGTCACTAAATGGGCAGTCAAAATAATTGAACATGAAAGTGTAGGCAACTCCAACAGATGAGGAATTTACTCTCTTGGGTCTTGTTCCTTTTTAGGATGATGCCTGGCAAAGCAGCAATGTGCCCATATTTAGCATACATCTCTCCCTTGCTGTGCTGCTTTAAGGGGCTGCCTGCAAATCTCTGAAATAACTTGTGACCATGGGAAATTAAAAAGTTAAAGCTGACACTGGTAGTGAGAGCAAACATGTGATTTTCACAGCATGTTCCTTGTTCCATACATTTGCCAAGGACCACCAAAGATTTGGGGATTAATGTTATGATCATATGGCTCTTAACATAAAGGATTCCATTGATACTTGCCCCAGAATGAGAAAAAGAAAAAAAAAAGGAGAAAAAAAAAAAAGCTAAAAGTAATTAACAGAAAAGCCTTTTCATATAGGAGCCCATGCCTCAGCAAGTGCACACTGCATAGTGTCTAGGTAGAAAAGGTTATAGGATGTAAAACAAATTCACTTGACCTCTGTTAAATGGCCAAGATAAAAATAAGCACAACAGGAGGAGTGACATAGAAGAACTGATGCAATTAAAAAGAAAATTGCTGCTGTAATGAGGAAACATGCATTATATGCTGAAATAATTTAGTCTGAACAGATACAAAAATGATACTGGAAAAAGTGTATTTAATTATGGTTTGTTTCAATCCTCTTATTAGGAACAAGTAAAAATACCTTTTTAAATAAACTGCAAAATCTTTTACCTGCCAAGGCTTGGGCTCAGGCCTCTGTATGTCTCCAACTGAGATTTCTAAAATGCTTGGAGCAGGGAGCTGCATTCCTTCTGCTCTATTAAGGAACAAGAGAAATAGAAGGGAAATACACTACCATGGACCTAAGACTTGGAAAAGAAAGGCAGTGGTTCTTTTCTTCCTTTTCCATTTTTTTTATCTTGCAATGTAACTCTTAATTATTTGCATACATAACTTAGTAATCCACTAATCCACTGAGTGTCTTACCAGCAGTAGGCATTACCCTAAACTGTTGTTTGCAACTGGCAAAACTTTGGGATCATAGACTCGGCTGATCTCTGCTGGATTCTCGCAGAACTCACTGACTGAAAAGTAAAAAGCATTAATACAAAACTCTGTTTTAAATGCTCAACTGCCAAGAGGCAGATTCTGAGACTAATAAAAAAAAAATCAGAGCATCTACTGCAAGGTTGCTTTATTATTGGCTGGTTACAGAAACAAGTACCAGACTCCTTGGCACATCTCTAAGGACAGAACTATAAATGCGTATCGCTCGCATATAAATCTCTGCAGATGTAGAAAAGATTGCCATCTTCGGGCAGTGCTTAGTCATAGCAGCCCTCTTTCCTGCTGGAGAAATCAAAATCCACACCCTGGCTGTAAGGTGTAAGGAGAGGACAGTTGGAATCCATCTCAATTTTGAGCTAATCGTAATTCTGGGACGCAGTAATCAAGACCTGCTTTCTGAGTGCACGTGACTTGTCAGCATTTTGTTGTATCTTTCTCATGTGTGTGTGATCTAAAGCATTTGCTTGTGACTTAGACCTTTTGGGCTTTACAGCTTGGAAACAGAGAAACCTCAAAAAGAAACTATCAGCTTGATCTCAAAATACTGTTATCTTCGCCTGTTCCTGCAACTGTATGGGTAGCAAGAAAACATCTAGGGAAAGGGTGAGATTTCTTACTCTGATTCATGTCTTACCTGAAATTGAAATAACTCTCAATCTTTCTTTACCTGAGAATATACAGGGCAACTTTTAGGTGACCACTCCTACTCTGGGAAGAGTACTCTGAGAGATCATACCTGAACAGAGTAATTGAAAATGAGTTTGGAAACATGGCACACTAATTTCTTCCTGTATATTTAGGGTAGACCAGGGCCAATTGGAACTCAAGGCCCAATTGGTGCTCCCGGACTTACAGGACCAGAAGGTTTACCAGGAGCGAAGGGTGAGAGAGGAGCAGTGGGCTCCCCTGGACCAGCTGGTCAGAAAGGTGATAAGGTAGGTTCAACAGAGGCTTTTTATTGCCTTGCAATTGTTTTATGGCCATGCACGGATTTTTTTGAGTGGATGAAGATACTTTTGGTCTATCTGTCAAAAGGTAATAAAAAAGAGTATTTAAGTAGTATCTGTAGAAAATCCTCTGCTTTTACTTTGAATTAGAATGCAGTTGCTAAAGCTGCTTGAGAAGGTCTTCGACCGTACAGCCATCCTGGTGGGTGAACAGTAGCCAGATGAACGTTGCTCTTGCATGTTGAGTCTTTTGCTTCACCTGCCCAGAGACAGATGTGTGTTAGTCACAGTATCTATGCTATCATGGGTGATAGCATTTCTACATTTCCAGCAGATAACACTAAAATCAATAAACCCAGATTTTGAAATAGGTAGATGCTCAGGATAGGAGCTGGCCTCCAACTGTTGAGGAGGATAAATTTGTCATTGTGGAGAATTTTTCTTCTTGCTGTGAGCATTGCTGGTTTTACTCCTGTATTTGAAATAATAAAATCATGGACAGTGTTGGAACCAGTTTCCATTCACTGAAGAAATGTCTTTGTACTCCATAGTTGCAGTTTTGTACATGGAAATTGATGTATATGCAATACTAACATACAATAAATTTCTACCTCCTTAGCTCTATACTTAGCACTATACTTCACCATTGCAAAGCAACGGCTGTAGTTTATGCTGGGTATTCTGCTCACATGGCCTGTTCTACTTTTATTTACAGCAGAGTATTTACGTATAAAATAAAACCAGCAAAGCAGTGTTCTTTTCATTTCAATATTCATGCCCAGCCATAGGCAGTCTGAAGCTGGCCTCCATTTTTTTTATTATTGGTATTTCTGAGTGGTAGTTCCTTGATATAGACAAAAAACCTATAAGAATAGCAGAAAATATTGGATGTTGGGTGTAACCCTGGGAGTTTAACTTGTACAAGTTTATTTTCTTGGCACCTTGTTTTCCCCAGATGTAGGAGATTATATTTTTCCTTTAAATTGCCTGATGAAAGCATTTCTGAAACACTCATTTGGCATTCAGTACAGTTCAGATGTTCAGTTCCTATCTTCACTGACCCCTTAGGTTAGAGAGAATCTGCATAAGACAGTTTGTTCTTGTTCATAGTTAGTTCAAGGCAGTAAGTGTTGCTGTAAAAATTATGTCATGGATGTCTGAAATGTACAGATTAATAACAGGAAATGTAATGTATACTCTTCATTTTTTTCCTCAGGGCCCAATGGGAGTTCCTGGATTTCAAGGCATCAACGGGATTCCAGTGAGTTTATTTATGTAAATGTATGACTATCAGTCACCGTAATACTAGTCACAACAAAAAGCATGTTAGCACAACAAGACTGTGGCAGCACATGCAAAATGTGTCTTGCAAAATATTTGTTCCTCTCTGGAAGGAAATTGCAATTTTCATTAGTCTACCTAGTGGCTCCATGTTGTCTGGTAGCAGGTTGAGTCCCTAGTATGGGATGACAGGACACTGAGAAGCATCAGGAGGTATGCCTGAGTCACAAGGGGATCTACTGCATTTTGATAAGATTTTTCTGCCAGGATTATGTCTAGAAGACGCCTTATCAGAAAATCCTAGACCTAGGGAACTGGGAGGTCAATCCTAACAGCCAACTAGGAGGTCAGTCAGCAGCCAGGGTCTGCTGTGTTGAAGGCTACTCTTAATGTATATGTTCACATAACCTTTTCTTAGGAGTCTGCAGCTTCTGTAACGTCTATCATGGATCTTTCCTTCCTCAATAGAAGCCTGTTAATGCTTATCTTACTCATTATGGACACAGAGAGCAAGTTATTTCCCTTTTTTGTGTATCAGTCTTCTACGTGATAACTTGCCAGGTCTCCTTCAGTCTTTTTTTTTCTATAGTGCAAGGATGTTTTCTGGTCACTTCAGGAGAAGTTTAGCTGCAACTGCTTTAGAAGTTGCCCCAAGCTTTGTTGCTCCCTTTATACATTTTAGCTGTTTCCACTTTCTCCTTCTTGCATTAGAATTCTTTTTGGTTTCTTGATGTCTTTTTTCCATCTTCTTTATCTTTTCCCTTCTGTCTATGCTCATGCTCTTTCCCAGCTTCCCCATTTACTCTGCTGATTGAAGTCTCCAACAGTAGAGCAATGTTTTCTGACCCCTTTTCCTATCAAAACCTGAATTGTTTTGATAGACTAGCTGAAAACGTAAAGTTGGCCCTGCTCAAATCCAGTTCCTTCCTGGCCCTTGTACTTCTCTCCCCCCTCCTCTTATCCTTGCCTGTTTTCTCTCCTGCTCTACTCCCTTGCTGTTCTTTTTTTTTCTTTTCTTTTCCCACCAGCCAGCTTTCCAGCTCTGAAGTGAACAAGCTGTTCCCATAACACTTAATTTAATTGAACACATTCTAGGAACATGCTGTTCTCGGGGCATTTTTTTCAGATGAGGCTCTGGAGAAAGGGGATTCCCAACAAGGGGAGGGAAGAGACATGGCAGCAGCCACTGCCAGGTAGTTGGCAGGGAGAGGCTTTTCAAAGAGAGCATAGTGGGGAGGTAGAGCAAAGGATAAAAGTCACCTGCATACACAGATCTGCTCTCTCTGCTTTATGATATTCTGCAGGTAGGAAGGAGGCAAATTTTGTTGATTGCACACAGCAAAATGCTTGTCACTATGGCTCTCCTGTGCCACAGCTTCAGGAAAGGCAAACTAATGCAAATTTGTTTTCATTCTAGATATTGTGATAAATGTCTCCATTCTAGGGTGAAAATAGCAAACACTACAGCTTTAGAAAAACCTGCCTTTGCTAGTCACCTTTTAGAACAAGGAATTAGTTTAATTTGGTTGTGAAATGCATACAAACCTACAGACATTATATGGATGTGTGAAATACTGAACTAAGGAGATAGAACTTGCATATTCTGGTACATGTAAGAGATAAATAAAAATACAATTGGTATCTCTGCACAAGAATTACCAACCCATTATGCAGAGAGAGTCCTTGGAGCATGCAAGTTAGCGTGGGCTGCTGTATTTTATTCATGGCCAAAAGGCTGCAAGGCCATGAGTCAGATGGGAATCCCGCTATTGACTTTATGGGAAGTGGTGTACCGCAGAGTTCCCCTGGAGAATGCTGGTGGCAAGTAAATCATGTTATTGCAGCTGGCCTGACAAATCCCTTTGACCTAGTAAATACAGCAGCAGCCTGTGTTTATTGCTCGCCTGTCTGCGTCACATGTAGAAGAGACCCTCAAATCCTTAGCCGTTAAGGAAGTTTATTTTTTCCCAAAGGAAAACATTCAAGCACACCTCTGGCAAAGGTGGAAATGTAGACAGGAGATGTATGTAAGTTTGGGGCATCCTAGAAGGAAATATTTCTATAACCTGTGAGCCCTTGGCTACACCACAAAATCTCATGCCACATGGTGAGACCAAGTTCTCTATTTTATAGCCCTCCTGGAGAAGATTCGAGTGCTTAGAAGTGGCCATGAAATGGCCATTTTGCTGTAGCAGTGCATGAAACTGTTTATGAAATTCACTTTGATTATTGATTGCATTTATTTCCCTGTTTTTAAGTGCTTGTTGAGTTCCCCTGTTGGGATAACTTTTGTACTGAGCCTTTTTGATTTAGGAAAGAGACCCCTCGGGATCATGGTGTATACGAGCAGGAGTCAACTTAATTCTGCCCATAAGTAAAGACTGTAAAAGTCTCTGCCCTGGTCAGTTGAGCTGTTTGTGCTGAATTGGCACATCTGCCAAAACAGGAATTAGGGGAGGTGAGAGCAGGGGAACAATTAACCATCGTTTCTCAAATCAAAACAGCTCTTTCACTAAGTGTTTTAAAACTCTGGGGAAAAGCTTAGTTAAGGCTGGTCCTTGCGACTCTCAGGGAAGTCAGTTGTGGGTGCTCAGTGCCCTTAAAACAGAACCTCACAAATTGTGACCACAGATTAGCCAAAAAGTAGGAAATCTTGTGCTTTTTTCTAAAGCAAAAGAGGATATATGTAACACGTGTGTATTTGTGTGTACGCTTGTGTCTACATCATGCTTCAATTCAGAACCACAGACACAGTTTTAAGAGGCAGGGTCAGGGATGTATATAATACAGATAAGGAATAGCTGTGATCAGCATGAGTTGTACCCCCTCCATGCAAGCTCAGTGTTGCCCTCACACAGTGAGAGGATGCCAAAAATCTCTGGGCCACTTAACTCTGGCCCAAAGAGCCTCTGAAGGATCTCATCGAAGTCTGCTGAGACATGAGGCCCGCCAGCAGCTGCCTGCTCTGTAGGCCAGCTCTGGGGACTCTACAGCTTTGCTCTCTGTTGTTTAGGTTAGAGGGGCAGATCCTGCCCCTACCAGCTGGTCAACATACCTTGTAACCAAATACTTTGTTCAGCATGGTTTCTATTTCTGTTGGTGCCCTAAACCAAGCAGAAGACTTGGTAGACGTTGACTGTGCTGGCCTCCATGTTCTATCTCTGCTGGCCTGTCTCATCAGGTGCTTGCTGTTCTCTGCTGTGATGTACCACATGATATGGTAAGGGAGATGCTGCTGATTTGTTTCAGCTTTGGGAACCAAAAGAAATAATTTCTAGAAAACAAAGTCAAGTGGCAATAAATTGCTGCTTCCACCTCCACATATCACTTACCTGGACCCAGCAAGTCCTGACTTGCACAGTACATGGGAGTATTTTCACAAAGGGCTTCAATTACCCAGGCAGCTGCCGCTGCATAAGCAGCAATGCCCAATGTAGATACTTCAGCATGATGTCATGCAGTGTCCTGAGACCCTGCCTAATCTCAAATTTGCACATGTCTGGATAAGCTACTTTAAGACTGTGGTACACACCTGTTTTTCATTGGTTTAATTTGCACCTTATTGGTTTAAGCTCCTCTGAAAGCAACACTATCTGCAAATGTGGACTTTCTCAGTAAGAAACAAAACAGTTTTCAGCTGTGTGCTTTTCCTGATTTTCCTCGCCTGCACTGCCTGTACTTGTGCCAACACAGGGACAGGGCACGTGGGAGCAGCCAGGAGCATGAGATGGCCCTTCTGGCAGTCCCCAAGACTGCTGATCTCTTTGCATGTTTATGCAGCTATGGCCTAAGTTGCTGTGCATCCTTGAGCAAGTCACTCTACTACTTTGTGCCTCCAGCTTCTCATCCGTGAAATGAAGATTATAGCATTCTCACATATTTACAAAGCAATTTAAGATCCTTAGATAAAAGGCTTTATGTTACTGAAAAGTTCTCATTGGATTTGGTCAAACAACACGCTATTGGCTCGGGCTGAGAAGACCTTTAGCAGCACAAATTTGATTTAAGTGTCAGGCATGGAGGCCTGCTAACATTCTGCTTTATCCCCATTTTATCGTTGTTTATTTTTATTTTCGTTGTATGAGTCATAGCTTAATGCCATATCATAAGGATAAATCTTTGGGATTTAACAAAAGTTATTCTGGAATAATTCAAGATCAGAGTGTGAAGAGAGGAGGAAAGAAAAGTTACTGATACTGTATCCATAAATTTCATTTCTCTTCCTGCCACAAAATGCTGCCTTTGAGTGCCACAAAGCTTATTTCTCTTGAAAGAAGGATAGACTCAAGAGAAACCTAATAGCCAGGTAGTATGATTGGCACTTCTGCCTTCTACCTGCACACATACGTATGTTACTGAACCAAAAAAAAAAAAAGGGGGCCATTTGGAAGATACCAGCTCTCTGAGGATAGTACTGCTAAAAAAATGTGTCCGGTTAGTCATACTCTCTTTTTACCTCTTTACACAGGGTCACCCTGGCCAGCCTGGCCACAGAGGCCTGCCTGGCGTCGACGGCTGCAATGGCACCATCGGGAGTCCGGGTCTTTCTGGATCAGATGGTCTTCCTGGCATACCTGGGCCACCTGTATGTCCTGAGACGAATACGGTGTTTTGTGGTCACTAAACCAGGAGTAGCTTTTCTTGCACTACTTAACGAAAAGCAACGCCCAAATACTTGGGAAGAACATTAATAACCACGAGCTTGTTAGCATTGTTAGAGCTCACTATCATATGCTCACTGAATTCACTAGATAATCTCTAGAGGTCCCTTCCAACCTTGAATATTCTGTGAAATTCACTACATAAGTGTATTAACCTCCAAGGATAAAATAGAAGTTATATCAAGTCAGTATGTTGCCACATCAAAACATACCTGTTTCTGGCAATATTCGACCTAACTAAGAGGTGACTGCAATCAAGTCTCTTAGGATTGTGAAGTTGCACCTCTCAGTTAGTGGATGCTGATTCAGAAAAACATATTTGATATCATATCTGAACTTGATTTCATATCTAAAACTTCATATCTAAAACTGATTTTACAAGTCACACGCATAATCCACATGCAGTGGAACTCCTTTACGTGTATAAGAATCTTTTGCAACTCCATGAAGAAGAAAGTAAGAAAGTATAGCTGACAGATATGACTAATGCCATTTCTTTTAACTTTTTAAACTATACTGGAAGACTCTTTATATGCTGTGCAGACTTGAAGTTCCTATGATGTTGAAAATACTTAAGCAGCAAGATCAAAATAAGTGCTGCTTTCTAAAGTAACTGATTTAGTCACACCTACTGGTCAATCTCTTCTTCTTTTTTTTTTTTTTTTTTTTTTTTTTGTATTGAAAGTAGGTTTACATTTGAGTCAAGGAAAGCCGCTTACTCTGCTGAACACTCTAAATTGGCAATTAAATGAAATCACCCCAGCTAAATTGAATGTGATGATTAAGATTAATTGAATAAATCTGGAATTATAGTGATGGCCTTTACTGAGGGTCTGTGAAGGCTACCAGTTTGTTTTTTTCCTTGAATATTACTCTAAATAAAATTTAAATATTTACAATGTTACAAAAGAGAGATATGTAAAGAGAAGGATTGTACTATATCAAACAGATTCAAGTGGGATCTGAAAAGTTTTTGACACCCTGAAAGAAAAGGAAAATCTAACGTAAATAGGAAAATACTGGAGAAAATATTTGCAGAACCATGTTTTTCCAAAGCCTCAGGAAAGTTCTCATAATAACTCAGCTTCTTTGACAAAGCTGCTGTAGTACTTCTGCAGCTTACTGCAGCTGTTAGACTGCCTCATTCTTTGTGTTGAATATAATTTCTCTCAAAATGGAATATATATATATATATATATATATTTCCAGACATTTATTTTTAACATTGTTTTTTTAACAGGGTCGTCCAGGTCCCAAAGGTCTTAAAGGAGAACCAATTTTTGCCCAAAGCAGCCTTAAAGGAATGAAGGTAAAAATCTTTATGACCTAGGGGAAAATCCTCATGGGAAGAAACTTGGAAATTCTGGAGGGCTAATGCTGCAGGTTAGGTTGCTCATGATGCTAGGTGTGGATTGCTGGGCTATATCTGAATGCAGGGCTGTGAAAAATATGCATGGGACACTGCCCATCACATTATATGTGTATGTGTTTCTAGGTGTAGCAAAGGAAAGGGCCTTCAGCTACATTCAGAGCTTTCCTGTAAGCTGCTATCCTGGCACGTACTAAACCTGTTGAAGTAACAGCCCCATGAACTTGCTTGCTAGGATTTCTCCTACTCCGAGATCTCAGATGCCCCCCAGTGTTTTCTGTGCTGGGATGGACTTGTAAAAAATCAACTGTGTTCTGAATGTAAACATCATATCCCTTCCATAGTATCATATCCCTTCCATCATTTACCATAGTGAAGTCAAGATATTGCTCTCTGTTTAATAAGGAAGTTGCACTGAAATTTCTGTATCATATCTGTAATTTTATTTCCTACATGCATGATATAAGCTATGGAAAGATGGTCTTGGTTTGCTGTTCATGTAAAATAAACATATAAAAGATCCTTATTGCTTTAAAATCAGTTTAAAATGCTTTTGATTTTGCAAGAAGTACTAGATTTAGGATAGAATTATAAAGGTTTCAGTACCTCTTGTGGTGCATTTGGCAGCTTATCCTTGAATAATATGGTTGTAATTTCTGTAGAGTTTTGGAATCTCTCCACTGCCTATTTTAAAATGGAAGCATATTTCAAAATATTTTTCCCAGGACACTTCATCTAATATTAATGAAGATAATTTTTTTATTTATACCAATTTCATATCATTAATATTCTGTTACAATAATGATTTTTTTCACCAAGATATTTGTAATTTTTAGGGAGAAAATGGTCTTCCTGGCTTGGATGGAATTTCTGTAAGTTATTTAACTTCAGGAATAATGATTTTAAGGAATATTAAGTAGGATTTTTTTCCTTGTCACTTGAATTATGTAAATTATTTCCTAGTATTGATTCTCAAGGGCATCTTTCAAATTAGTAGGTAATTTATTTATGCATAATCCAAGTAGTGTGAATAAATCCACATTCTCCAGTAGTACAAGTGGATGTAAATTATGGTAGAAGAAATCATTTTTTTGCTAGTACCTAATTTGTTTTTCCTTTTAAAATCAAACTCCTTTCTGTCATTTATCTCTGTAACTTTGACTTTTAAAATCAATCTAAAATAAATATAATAGTATTTAATAGATTATTTTAGATTTTAAATTGGTATCCTTAATGAAGTGATACTGTTTATGTTTTCTGAATCTCAATTTCTCTTTGTCTGGGATTTGATGAGGCAAGCTCTAGTTCTCCTGTGTTCTTTGCAATTACTTTCTAATCATTGAGGCATTTGAAGGGACATTTGTCATCTGTAGTTTTGTCCCTGATAATTTCACTTGATGCAAAAAAAAGCCTTTACTGACTACTGACTGAGAAAAAAAGGTTAAAATTGAAAACTTCCTCTTATAGGGACCAAAAGGTCTTCCGGGTCCTGCAGGTTCTATAGGCCCTATAGGTTTGCCAGGTTTGCAGGTAAGAGACTTTGTTGCACTTATTTATAGAACAGTTCAAAATGTTAGTGATTTGCCTGTATTTATGTCGTGATAAGGAGCAAGTGTGTGTGTGTGTCTAAAAGGTTTGTGCACAGTTGACCTCAAATGTAGAATACTTTAACTCAAAATTTTGAACTGGTTACTAGAGTGGAAGTTCCTTTCTAGAGCAGTGGTCTAGAATTGTGAATGAGAACTGCAAGAAGGCCCTAACATGCTCTCCCATGGCACTTAGTTCTAGTATCCCGAGCACTTCCAAGTCTCAGGAATAAAAAGAATATGCTGAGTTCTGCATGTTTGGAGCCTTTGTCATCATGACATGTGCTGATGAGTTGTCTTTTAAAGATACCAGAAAAGAGTTTCCGCTAGGCAGAGGTAAAAATCATCTCTTTGAAATGTTTGTTGTTTTTAAATTGAGACTTGCTTTTAATTAAGCACAGTGTGAAAGGGACATGCTCTCTGTAGTAGTTATGAATGCTTAAAGCTATGGTTAGAATGAATCACTTGCTTTGATCTGGGAATAAGAGGTGAGAATTTGACTATCACTCCTATTGTGCACATATTACTTAAAAGAAATAAAATCTTGATCTTGTTCACACTTAGGGTCCAGTGGGTCCCCCTGGGCCACCAGGTCCAAAAGTAAGTACCTGCATTTTCTTTTCTACTTCCACCCCCAGCCTCCAGTCAGAGTTGTGGCACTAGGTGATAGAGGTGCTATTGTGATTGTTTGCTCATGACTATTTTTCCCATAGGGTAACATGGGATTAGGCTTTCAAGGAGAGAAAGGAGAAAAGGTAGGTGAAACCTGGTATGAAATAATACTACACATTTCTACATATGTAGTCTAGATTCTAGACTTCCTTTATAGCTTGGCCCTCCCCAGTAGATGATTTAATTCTAGCATTTTCTAGAATTAGCATTTCTAATTCTAATTCTAATTTTCTAATTCTAATTTCTAGCATTTTCTTCTTCTACTTTTCTGCTTTTGGACTGGGTGGCAGCCCAAATACTGAACATTTTTGCTGGTTCCTTGTCTGTTATTTTACAAGGAAAGAGGTGGGAGTTTTTCCTGAGTGAAGAGGGGAAAAAACCTTGCTACAGCTTAGTGTTCCCATATCCATCCAAACATAAGGTCCTTTGACTCCTGTAAGATTTCTGTCTTTCAGTTTTTTTTCTGCCTCTTATCTTTTTCTACTGACTTATTCTGTTTGTTTTTCAAAATACTCTTTAGGTCAACTGACATGTAATTTTATAGTGACATTACCCTAAACAGAGGTCCTGTGGTCTCTGTGAGGATTTACGCGAACATAGTGAGACTTCTTGCAGTTTTCACTTTGGAACTTGAGTCTGCTGCTGTTAAAATCAGTCCTCAGCATTCTCTATTTTCCATTTATAATGAAGGAGAGGAACTTATAAGTCAGGACATTTTCCTGCCTCTCTTGATTTATTAATTAACTTACATTATTTCTTAATATTTTATACCAATTATGTTCATGTCTTTCTAGCTGTCTCTTGCTTCCTTTGCATTCGTATTTTGCCTCATAGCTTCTCTGGAGTTTTTTTTGTTTTCAAAGTTTCTTTATTGATTCAAACATGTTCAACTTACAAGAGTATACATATAAGAGTTAAGGTTGTGTGTGTGTGTGTGTGTATATATATATATATGTATATATGGGTATCATTAGAGTGACAATCTTCTGAATCAGAAGCAACTTTTATAAGAAAGCCAAGCATGTTCTCTTTATCTTAAGAGCTGTTGCTTTTTTCTGCAGGGTGATGTAGGACTGCCTGGCCCTCCAGGTCCCCCACCATCCACTGGAATACTTGAATTTATGGGTTTCCCAAAAGGGAAGCAAGGAGAAAAGGTTTGTAAATTCAGTTTACTGACCCTCTACAAAAGTTGAATAAAGTTGCTAAACAGTGAGGACTGTTACCTTCCCAGATTACAGTCGCGGTTTGTGAAGCTATGGGAAGTGTCCCCAAACAATCTGTTGAAGTTACTAGCTTTGTGCTGAGACTTTATATCTGGCATGTGACAAGACACAAATCAAATATATGTGCTGCTAAATAAATCACAAGACCTTACTTTAGGAGTCAGAATCATGATTGGGTGATTGGGACAAATGCTCCTGCTAAATAGGTATGGTGATTTATTGTGTTTATCTTCCCCTTGACAGGGTGAGCCAGGCCCTCAAGGCTTCCCTGGAGAAGAAGGATTGCCTGGCCTGCCGGTGAGGATGGAAGAGAGTTTTTAGGACATGCCAATAAAGACTAGATGCTTAAGCAGCTTTTGGATAGCTTGTCTTGTGGGATGTTGACAGGAACTTTTAGGCACCAGTGCACTTTTAAAATCTGATTTAAAAAAAAAAGAAAAAAAAGCTTCCAGGATTTCTCAATGAGAATATAAGTTGTTGGCTTTTATCCTGGAGGCACAAAGAAGGTACTACTGTCCTGCAGCAATTGCTACACAACAAGAGTCATTTCAGTACATTTCATTTGCAGTTTTGTGGAGATAGATATAACCTTTACGTAGCCACTTGATGGCAGTGTTTCTTGATTTCCTATTGGAGGCTTCATGTATTTTAAAAATCCTATATTTTTCTTCTTATTATATTTAAATATACTTATTTCTTATTTTCTTTTAAATTATAATGCACATGTGTTTCTCTCTGTCTACCTATCATGGACAGTTTTAAAATGGACTGGTTAACACAAACTCAGGATTGTGTAGCAATTTTCCTGTATGAGTTACAAATAACAGCAGTTTATCTATGGATTCCAGGGAGCTACTTCCCAGCTTATAACTGTTGTAAACACAGATTCTTCAATTGAATTTATGGAGTAAATGTTTTGTGGAACTACTGACTAGTAAGATAAATTGTTTACTGGTTTCTTCAATATACAGATGTACTCAGTAGAATGGCATGCAAGAAAAAGGTGGGCATATTCCATTATGTTTAGCTTTATGCCTCGCAAGAGGCCCATTTAAGCCGGTGGGTTTGAACATATGTGTGAACTTAACTACAAGCATTAGATGTTTCAAGATTGTAGCCTGAAATTTGCCTAACTACTGTAACTCACACTGAAATTAAACCCTGTTGTTCTATCTCCAAATTTGATACTTGCTTCTGAGAAACGATGTTTCTAAATGTCAAGTGTGAAAACGTAGTTTTCATATCATCCTTATGCTTTAGAAATGAAAAGGGATGCCTTTTGCCCTGCACTGAGCTGCCTTTAAATGGGAAATGTAAGACTGGCAGGACTTTGCTATTTCTAGCACAGAGTTACTTGTGTTGTACCATGCTCTAAATGAATGAGATTCATGGAGAAGAGGGAAGACAATGTACTACATAATACTAACAGCTGTCTTAGAGTTTTCTTTCTGGGGCAAAAGAGATTCAGCAGAGTGGGTCAGTTCCCCTAATGCCTCTGTTGTGCTGTTTACATTAACACATATGTTTGTCCTAATCCTGACTTAGGGCTGTGCTGTTCAGATCCAGACCAGATTGCAGACCTAATGTTGAATTTTTTTTTAATTTTATTTTTTTCCCATCAGGGCTTTGGAGGTATTGGAGAAAAAGGAGAAAAGGGTGTCCCTGGCCTGCCAGGTGGCAGGGTAGGTAACTTTACAAAGTCCTTAAATCCATGTTCTTGAAGTAGTTGTATGAAGTAGAAATTTCGTCAACAAAGGAATTCCCAAGGCATTGTAGGTACACTAGCCAAAGGTTTTGGCCCCATAGTAGCTGGTGCCATACAGCAGCAGAACCAACTCTTAGCTCAGTAAAAGACTCAGACCTAAGGTAAAATGAAAGATGAATACAGACAAGACGGTCCAAGAAAATCATGCAGAAATAGTAAAGTTTTAATAGTGCAGGGCTAATATTTTTCAATTTTTTTTTTTTTTTTTTTTAAGGCTTCACAGAAAAGGAAGTTTATAGACAGTCTAAATAGTAGGAGGAAGATAGGAGACTTTGCAGGGGCTTTTAGAGAGCTCTTACTGTCACAGCTGGCCAGGAGAAGACACAGGTAGGTGTTTGGAAAAGAAACAGGCAAACTGGTAATGTAGACCAACTGAGCAGTGAGGGTGGAAGTTAACAGCATGTTCAATTACACACCAGTCATGGAGGGATTCTTCAGACCATAATGACTCTGCAGAAACCTGATGCTCATATGCACAAGGGCAACCAAGGCATTCTGTTTAGCGTGTGCACTGCAAATAGTCAAGATAGAAAATATTTGCCTGCTATTTAGTTTCATGGCTTTATACTTAGAAACTACCTACCTAACTTTCCAGAAAGGTAAGACACCAAGATTTGCTTAAAATGCTTAATTAGCAAAGCAATGACTAAAGAAGATATGAGGTATTTTATCAGTTGCTTTGGAATTCTTTCAATGATGATTGCTAGTGTTTGTAGCATATATAAAATCAATGGCAGCATCTCCCTTTGAAACTTCTGCTATTTGACTCTTTTGGACCTGGTAAAAGATAAGTGGACTACGGTGGAACCTCTGAAAGTTAAGTAATATTTTATTTTAATTTTAGGGATTGCTGGGGCTGGATGGATCTGTTGGGATTCCAGGGAGAAAGGTAAAACGCTCTTTTGAATTTGACTGTGCTTCTAACAATTACAGAAGTCATCTAACTGCTTAAGACCTACTGACTTATTTACCTAGTGGTTCTAAGTTCTCTTCTCTGGTTCACAAGTACACCTGCCCTGAAAAACTAGTGAAAACTACCTAGAAAGTCAGCTATATACAAAAAGTTTAATAATAAGGCTTCCTGCTGCAAAACTTGTGGAATATCCTGTTTTGTCTGCAGTGGCCGCAGGTCTTACAGTTCATACTCGACCAGGTTCAACGTATTACTCAGTAGAGAACAAGTTTACTTCAGTGTGGGTTTCCAGTCACACACTTGAGGTTTGTGATGGCCCTGGGAATGCTACTGAGTAAATGAATAGCTGGAGGTTAGGATCTCATAGCATAATTTTGGATGTTTGGGTGCCAGTGTTTTGTTGCAGGAGGGAAGAATGAAGGGGAAGGTTTGAGGGGCAAGGAGAGTAGCGTATGAAATTCCTCACTCCTCAAGCACCTGCAATTCTGAAAGCTCTGAGATGCCCTCCTAAAGTACATGCCCTTATACCTGTTTGTAAGTTCTCTCTTTTTATAGCACAAAGAGAAGCCTAAAGGACCTCAAGTATTTTGCAAATTAAAAGAGCGCTGACAAATCTATGTCTGAAGTTTTCTCTATTTCTTTGGCATGTGTTTCACAGCACAGTGAATTGTGTCTGAAGTTCAAGTTCAGGCACCGTAAATGTCTCTGCTAACAAGTAGCACCCCTGTCCTGTTGTTTCACTGTGTAACAGTGCTCTTATGTGTGACTTTGCAGGGTCATCCAGGTGTTCCAGGCTACCCTGGACATGATGGAGTAGAAGGCATGAAGGTAACTTCTCGTATGATAATGCTAAAGCACTGCTTTTGTAATGACATTCCAATGTGTCATTACTCCGAATCAAATTTCTTTTTTTTTTTTAACCTCTCTATCACTGTATTTTTGTGTGTTTTTCAACTCCTCATTGGCTGTCTTGTTAGGGATAAATATGAATGGTTACTGAATTGTGAACACAGATATTTTAATGCCTTTGCAACATTCTATCATGTAATTTCATGACTTGGGATTTTGTATGTAGGCCCTCCTGTCTTTATCCTTACACCAACACCATATTTACTGGAGAAGTGAGGCAGTAGTAGATGAAACTAGGTGGATGTGGAAGATAATTGCTAAGACTACCTGAGGTCTTGTATCACAGCTTTTCAAGTATTAACAAGTCTGAAAAGAATGGGTCCAACTCATCTCCCTATTCCTCATAAGAGAGATATGCAAGAATGAGTCCAATCCATAGCCATATTCCTCATGCTGGAGATATGCAATGCAAAACAGCCATTTTTGGATATCTAAGAACTTGGTTTGCCAGCCACCTGGAAATTGAGTGATCATTGGCCAAAATAGTTGAGTAATACTTTGCTGTGAAAAGCTCTTGTAATCTGCCACTGAGACCAGTCTATGGTTGGCAGGCATAAGAAATGCAAGTGCAGACAGACCTTTTTGGAAACTGCACAAGGAAAAAGTATTCCTGGTTTATGCATAGAGCAGTATACCTGGAAGAAGAAATAAAATGATAACTCCCTCAGCAGATTGCATAGTGTTTATAATAAAAATTTGATAGGGATTTTGACAAAAATCAGATTTTGCACTTCTGTCAAAGAATTTGATTCTGTATTTGAGAGGCAGAAATGATACTGCAATTTGTCACAACTCACTTCTTACATATGATTGAGTTTATGGAGGAATCCAGCAATTCTCTGAAAGCCCCTGTTATTAAAATTCAGGACTTAAAGGTATTAGATAACTGCATTGTTGAATGCTTAAAGAATGTGTGTGTTTGTAGTAACTCTTCTACTTTTAGCACGAGATGAACAAAAATTATCTACCTGATGTGGATCAATATCGTAATATGATAGCTGGTCTCCTGTAATCATAGTGTGCACATGTTTATGCTTCCTGTGGAAGCAAAAGGATGAGTTCAAAAAACAGATAATAGCAAATACTCTGTTGATCAGCCATTAGTTTCAGCTTATAGTAAGAGCTGATAGTTATGATTGTAGATGATTGTGAATAGCTAAAGAAGAAAGTGAATCCTACACTGACACAAGGAATGATGCTTATGTCGGTGAATGACAACAGACATTGCTATCACAAACATCTGCTTTCATGGCAAGCAATCCTCCCCTTCCTCACCAACTTTGAGATCTATTGGTCTGTGAATCTGTTTTCTTCTACAGGGTGAAATAGGTGACATTGGTCCCCCAGGCCCTCCTATCGTTATTGACAGGGAAGGAGTAGTCATTTCAGGTATTCATTTCCACTTTGTTTTGAAACTATTTTTAAAGCACCTTTTCTCATTCAAGTTTTCTTATATTTTACCGCTTTTCCACACTGTGAATTGGGTATAACCCATCCGTTGTTCTACTTCTTTTCAGTTCTGTACTGTTAGCATATAGATACAACTTCAGGCTTGCAATAAACCTTTCATTTTCAGTTTGCAGAATATGTTTCCAGGCAGAATGACATGTTTAATGCCCGAGGACTGACTGTAGATGAACATGGGGAATATGTGGCACCTGTGTGTCTTATCTTTACTAAGAAAAAACAGCTTCCTTTTGTCACTTGGAAATGGGTAATCTGAATGTCCTCCTCTTAATGTTTGTCATTCTGTGTAGTAGTAATATTGTTGAGAAAAAGAGCTTAATGCCTCTGCTGAGTCAGGCCTGAATGGGAAGAGTCTCTGAACCTGAGTAGACACATTGTATGTCCTCTCTCCTCTTCCTCCTTCACATGCAGTCAAGCTTGAAAGAATGTTTAGCAGGTCGGGAGGGAGTTTTCCTGTCGTTACTAACGGTAGCAGGTTCACTGCTAGTGGATTTTGCAGCTTTTGTTGTCCCTGAGACCAGTGGCCACTGGAGATGGTTGACTGAACTGTCTGTCAGCAGAATTTATCATGTGGGTTTTTTTTCCCCCCTTGTTTTTCTGTATTTGACTAATAGGTGCTCCAGGTGACCCTGGAACTCCAGGAATTCCTGGCCCTCCAGGAGATGAAGGAATCAGTGGATTACCAGGCCTTCCAGGAGCTCCAGGTTTTCCAGGCCTGGAACAAGGTAAAGCATCTGTTAGCAGTGTCCCGAACAGGCAGTTTTCTGTGTGTTTGTTGCTGATAAAACTTCAGATGGCAGCCTTGATATGCTGAAGATTTATCGTTATTGGAGTTAGTGTCTCTCTTCTTCAGAGAGCTGATTTGCCGTCTATGTGAGAGACACAGGGACGGAATGACTGGCTTGAATGGGAGCAGGATTAGTCCCACAATGATTAGAGCCCGTCTTAGGACTTCAGGTGTGGTTATTTAGTGTACTGGTGTATACACAAGGGTGTTTTTTTGAGTAGATTGACAAAACCTTTCCTGGAAATGGAACTTCCTAAATAATAAAAATTGGTTTTGATTTTTTTAAAATGATTTCTTACACTAGTCATTCAATGCAGATAGAGCTAACAGATTGGCTAGATAAAACCACTATACATGGTTTGTCCCATCAGAAGTCTCACTTAAAAGAGTCTATTACACTCAAATGTCGTCTGTGAAATCCTGGCCTCCATCCTAGTAATCCAGACTCTAAGAATTGCTAGGGAAATTAATTTGCTCAGAGGTGATCAGGATTTAAATACTTACCCTGTGAAGGCAGCATGTGTGCAGTTGAGAGCAGAATGGTGGGTTTGATTAGTAAGTTCTCTTCTGTATGTGATTAGAAATGTGAACTTCTGTATGTGATTAGAAATTGTCCTGTGCTAACATGGTTACAGTTTAGGTCACAGACCTAACATGAGACCTAACACTTGCTACTGGAGGGCTGCTTATTGTGTCCTTGTTGTCTAGATGCAATGGGCCCTGGAGGATCTCCAGGTATTCCAGGTGTTAAGGGTGAAATAGGAGATCCTGGAAGAGCGACGATTGGATTACCAGGCAGTCCAGGCAGAGCTGGCTTACCAGGCCTGCCAGGAGCACCAGGATTGCCAGGTCCATCACGTATGTATATTTTTGTATATATTTTTACATGAGTTTCCGGGTAAAACCATACAAATAATCACTTATTATTTCTTTGCCAGTGAGGATTATTCATCTATTTATATTAAAGGCTTAACTCATCCCCCATTGTGGTTATGAGTAAGTCTAAGTCTTAACCATGTATATATAACAGCAGATACTCCTCTGAAGTAAGAAAACAGAACTAACCCTGTTAAAAAGGTGACCTGCGTCACAGAGCACAAGTTGTGTAGACTTGATTTGTGACACAGAGAACTTGGAAGTAGTGGACTAATCTCCTAAATACTAGACTAATATTGCCAATCAAACTTGGTATTTCATATTTATATCTACTTAGTGGCCTGCATCTCTGTTTCTTCCAAATGAAGTACCAGTTCTGCCTGTTCAATTATTATTATTTTATTTATTAACAAGCAATCATCTAAGTAGGTGGTCTGTAAGGAGGATGTATTCATGAAAACATAGTAATTTAATTTCTCCCAGGGAATGATAGATTGCCATGCACCTAAAGGAATTTAATAAACTAACCCAACACTGGTATCCTCAGACATCTCCCATTATCCATCGTTATCTGTTTTAATAGGATGAAAAACTGAGACAACTCAGATGTTCACTCCCAGCAAATATATAACAGTTGAAGGGGAAAAAAAGTTTATATAATAAAGCATACAGGGTCATGGGAGGAAAGTTGAGTGGAGCTTGCCATGATATCATATCTTAGATTAAAAAGAGATCCTGCCCTTATGAGTGCCTGGGGTAAATGACCTTAGAAGAACCAATAACAGCAATATTTTGTGTACCAAGTTGGCTTCAACAATGCATTGTTTTGTTTTCCTCAGAAAATTAATTATAAATGTAAAGCAATTAATTTTGCACAAACGCTGTGTTTTAGCAATCTGCCATGAACTGAGTTCAGCCTGTCTCATTCTTAAGAGGCAAATTTTCAAAATCATGCCACACTGCAGTAATGGAGCCGATGAACATGGACTTGTTAAGTGATTTTCCATTGAGAAGAAAGTGTTTTTTTATCAAGAGCTGTTCACCAGTCAAATCTCGCATGTTCTTTCATGGGGTCCCTATGGCTCTTGCAGCTATTTTTGGCTGCAGTTTGTTTTAGTGGAAGATCGGACTGCTGCTGGTCGACAGTCAGTGTTGCACTGGGGAAGCTCTTTCAGTATTAGTAGTTACGGATTATTTTACATCATTTCTCTCTGCTATATCTGCCCTGTTTCACGTTTCATTGCATTTACCAGCATATAAAGACATATAGAGAAGGGAAGGGGGAAGTCATAGAATCATAGAATCCTTAAGGTTGGAAGGGACCTCAGAGGTCATTGAGTCCAACCCCCTGCACACGCAGGGTCACCTAGAGCACATGGCACATCCAAGCTGCATCCAAGCGGGTTTTAAAGATCTCCAAAGAAGGAGATTCCACAACCTCTCTGGGCAGCCTGTTCCAGTGCTTTGTCACCCTCACAGTGAAGAAATGCTTCCTTAAGTTCCTGTGGAACTTCCGATGCTTCAGTTTGAAGACATTTCCTCTAGTCCTATCCCTGCCCACCACTGAAAAGAGGCCGCCCCCCTCCTCCTCACTGCCTCCCTTGAGGTATTTATACACACTGATCAGGTCCCCTTATCCAGTTTGCCATTTAGTCCATTTTCTGAAATACAGTAACTTAATGCAATGTTGAGAACTCTGTGGAAGGCAGGTGGCCATGGGCATGACTTCCTACCATGGTATCTGCATATGTGGTAACTCCTATACCAGCAAAATGGGCAACCACATCCCTTTCTCAGCTTCTTTCTAGAGAAGTGCCCATGCATGTGGGTCTCAGCTTTTTCCAGAGCTGTGAATGTACCTCTGCTCTTCTGCCTACCAGTGCATTGGGGACAGGCTGTGAACTAAGCCATTTGTCCTTCTTTATGCATTTGCATAGTTCTTTGGCCAGCCGTTAAGTATTAGAAATAAGTGCAGTGGCAGAGCAGTGAAAATTCATCTGCTCATGTAACTTACCTAGCCTTGGTCTGATCCAGGGCCATTTCTGACAGTTGCATAGCTGATTCTGTATTGTAAGTAGTTAATAAGCTTGAAAAAAACCCTTTCTTATGCTGTTTGTTTCTGCTCTTTTCACATATAGGCCCTTCATACCTCCCAGGTGCTATCTTGGATGGAAGGCCTGGGACACCAGGGGAGCCTGGACAGAGAGGGCCACCAGGAGCTTTTGGTCCAAAGGGGTACAAAGGTAAATTGACTCTTACTTTGAGAGAGCCTTTAAGCAATCATTGAGCCTCAGAAAAATATTTACAGGTAGTTAGTATACTAAGGAATGAAGTGGAAATGTATTTATAATAAATCACATACACTACGACATGGGTTAAAGGGATTGACGGCTGTTATAATTTAGAGATAGTAGCACTCAGCACTGCTCGCAGAATCCTATTTTCTCCTTCCTGTTCAGACTAATACACAGATAAACATACTGTACTGAGACAGTTAAACATTTTTCTTGTAAAGCCATTAAGGCATAGTGAGATGTAAAAAAAAAATCTGATGCCCTGCTTTGCTTTTAGTAATGTAGGCTGGAAATGACAGAGAGACTTTATTCTTCTCGATGCTAAAAATGATAATTTTGGTTTTAGCATGTGACAGAATTAGCAGCAAGAAGCAAGATCTATGGAGATTCACTGTGCTTTGTGATTGTTTGGATCCATGCTCATTTACTATTCCAGGAAATGTAACAATATGCAGCTGAAGGTCATTGTAACCTGCTGTGAGTGGGAGTATGGATTTGCTTTCTCTGATATAAAACCATCTGTTCTTAGCAGAGTCTGAACCTTTGGGAAGAGTTCAAGAAAACTAGCAGAGTGTGATACTGTGTTGAGGATCGTGCTGCACATTGTAATGTGCTACTAAGCATTGTATAGAAAAACAATGACAAAACCTGGACAAAACCTGAGCTCTGCTTGTTTGCCACCTGCATTGCCTGAGCACAGGGGGCACAAAATCATTGCAAACCAGAATGTGTATATCCCAATAAAGCGAAATACTGATTTTGGATCTCTTGAAGCTGAAAAGAGTCTTTGTACCAAGGAAACTACATTTGGAGTTTTTGCTATATTTTCCAGGAGATGCAGGTGATTGTGCTTGTGATGGAGGAGCTACAGCTGGTCAAAAAGGCATCTCAGGTCTACCAGGTGCACCAGGAAGCCTTGGTGTGCCTGGGATTAAAGGCATCAGAGGAGACCCAGGCACTGCGGGGGCTCCAGGGCTGCCAGGCCCCCCGGTAAGGAAGGCAGCATCTACACTGGTTGTCATGGGCTGAGTGAGCAGTGCTCATGTGCTGTTTGTTGCTGTTGATCACTTTCAAACCAGAACAAATGTTTTGCATGTTTTCTTCTACTTTCTTTGGTTAAGAAAGAAAAGGGGGGGGGGGCAAAAAAAAAAAAAAAAAAAAAGAAATTGATTTATGAAAAGAAACTAAAAGTAGAGAAATTACCACCTATTCAAGACTAGAGAAATGGTTCTAAAGTTCTGAGAACTGCATATTAAGCAAGAGAGGGAAAAGTAGCATCCTTATCAGCATCTTTATCAGCAACTGTGGCACACTGAACAGTAGGCAAGAAGGTTAAATACTTGGGCCTTGCTGTATCTTGAGCTGCCAAATGCCCTCAAAGACTGCTCTTAGTATAGTTCTATATACCAGTGTTTGGCTTGCTGTTATACAACTGTAGTGATTTGATGGAAGCATCTGGAAATAATTAGATTTCTTTTTCTTTTTTAGTGAATACATATAAAAGGAAACTTTTTGTAGATTCTTTCTAGCTGTATGTTCATATGCCTGTGTGTTTTGTTTATTTTTTTCCTCGTTTGTCCTGTAGGCTTCAGCTGGTCAGCAAGGTCTTCCAGGCCCTAAGGGAGAAAAAGGGGAGCCGTCCTATGCAACAGGCAGAGGTGCTCGTGGGGACCGTGGTGCAACAGCACCCAGAGGACCCTCAGGCATCCCAGGAACTCCTGGCAGGGATGGACTTCCAGGGTTGCCAGGTCCTCCAGGCCCTCCAGTAAGTTCAGATTAATTCTCCAACAGAAGTTGGAGTGCTTCAGAATTGCAGTAAGGAGCACAAACAATAGAAAGGCCTGACTTCATAGTCTTCGTTAGCCCTTTTGTTAGTATCTAAGTGGGTAAAAATACTTTTTGGATATGATAGCTAGCTAAGAGAAGACCTGATGGCAGGAATGTAAAAACACATGGCAGGCCAGAGTGATATATCAAGAAAGCTTCCAGTATGAGGCAACCACCATCATCTCATAAGACAGTAATATCCCATCAACTTTATCAAAACTAAGGCAATTATTGTAATGGTTTGCACAAAGAATTGAAAATGTAGAGTATAAGACCAGGGTCCTAAAATTTCCAGTGCTCTCTCTGGCCTCAGAATACTAACAGTTCTTGTCTTTAGAAATTATTTTTATGGCAGCAGTAATTCTTTAGCAGTGATGGAAGACCTCAGTGCTAATAAGGATAGAATGTGAATTGCTTATGGCCTAGGGTATGATATTTTCTTTGCTCTTGTTCAAACAGAGTTTTGCAGCTTGTGTATAGCACAGCTTCTATGCACTCTGTAACGTATTTCTGAATTCCAGGGGATCTCCAGCAAAATCTGCTGCTTTCTACAGGTTGTTGCACAAAAACAAAAGTACAGCTGATGGAGAAAGTACATGGTTGAATTTTAAATACTCATCAGGATGGTTAATGTAGCATTTACACATACTGGCAGCTAAGTAGTGCTGAGCAAGACACCATGTTAAAGAAAATCTATTTTGAAAGTTCATGTTCCCTGAACAGAAATTTGTTTTGGTCAAGATTAATAACTGGCATTCATTTGCCTCTCTTTACTCAGTCAAAAGATAAACTCACACTAGTGGAGCAGGCATTATCACTGCTTTACATTTGGTTCTAAAGAAAAAGCCACTGTTAGGCATAATTGAGTGTCAAATCTTGAACCAGAAAAAGCACATTAGAATCTTTTCAGTTTAAAAGAAAATATATAATTTTCAGAGTATATAATGCTTATATTTTGTCTGATACAACAATACAACATGAAGTATTGTTTCTAATAGTAACTAGGTTTTCCTGCATTTTGAAATAGTGATGGATGTTTTACAGTGGTTTCCTTCCACCTTCCTAGGCACATCCAAAACCATCCAAACCCACATATTTGTTACAATGTGGTGTACATTCTTTCCACCTCTCTGATTTTCAGCTGCATTTTTTTATTTTTTGCTGTGTACAGGGTGATGGTGGCCTAGGTTTCCCAGGTGAAAAAGGACTGCCAGGATTACCTGGCTCCAAGGGCCATCATGGAGAGATTGGTTCTCCTGGCGTTGGATATCCAGGTCCTAGCGGAACTCGTGGACCACCAGGTGACCCAGGAGCAGATGGCTTTCCAGGGCAACCAGGTCTTCCTGGCCCTCCAGGTGGGTGTTGCTAGATCTGCTTTTATTTTTAAAAGGTTCAAAGCTGCTACAAGTAAAATTACACTCAGCATGTTGTGTTTGTAGCCAGGCCAAAAGTTTGGATTAGATGACCCCCTAAATTAACTAAAACTGCTCTATGGACTGGTCAGACCTCACACAGTAGTCCCTACTTTTTCAGATTGTCCTGGTCATGAGAATGCAGATAATAAACAACAGATATTTGAGTGGACTACTCATATACTAACAGTTTTGGAGGAAGCTACGCTTCCAGGCTATTGCTGGAGAACTACTTTAAAAGTAATTAGAAATACAGTTAAAACCAAGTTTTCAAAACACAGCTCACTTCGCTGTCAAGTTAAAAACAGTCACTCACTAGTATTTGGGACTTCTGAATTAGTTTTAAGAACTATTCTTACTGAAATTAAAAGATTTAGAACTGCGTCTCAGTCGCTTGATCTCTCAGTGTTGGATTTTTAAAGATAATTTTACTGACAGTAATATCTTTGCTTTGCGGTTACTGCTCTATTTCAGTACATTTTCCAGTCTGTGACAAATCAGTGTTCTAGATTTCTATTTCTGTCAGTAACAGCAGGCATAATATTGTTGCATGTATTTACCCGCTTATAAATTGATGGTTCTGCATTCAAAAATCTTGGAGATTAAAAACCACTGCTGTATGAGGAGATTGGAAGAGGAATCTTAAACTCAGAGAGAGGTGAGAGCTAGGCCAGAATAACAGTGGGAAGGCTGTACAGACATGCTGGATGGCATGTTACCTCACATCAGTGTCACACTGGGTTTTGTAAGGAGGCAAGGAGACAGCTGGCATTAACATGCCTTTGGAATAGGCTACATAAGCTTTTTTTCCAATCCAAGTCACATGATAAATGATAAAAGCTTTGCTAGTTCATAGCTAGGAATGCTTACATCGTTGCTTCTTAAACTGTCTCTTGCTATATCTGTTAAATCTGGATTGCATTGTAAGATAAGTGGAATTAAACTGCCCTGTGCATGAGAACTCTAGATATTTTGAGGAGTGCACTGAAAGTCGAAAGGCTGAGATTAGAAAATCACCAGGCTCACTGTGTTTTATATATTTCTTTAAAATCAAACTATTTGAGATGTCAGCAGGGTTTCAAATGCGTATGTTCGTCCACAGTTATTTTGGATCTGTTCTGTAAAAGAAGCTCTGGATATGAGGTGTTCCCACTCTGATTGTCTCTCTGAAGGGAGTGTGTGCAATCTGTCTTCTAGGTATCACCTTGCCCTGTGTAGTTCCTGGAGCATATGGTTCCCCCGGGACTCCCGGCTTTCCAGGATTGCCAGGTATGCAGACAAACTGTAATGCATTGACTCACTGCCAAGAAACATCTCTTCCTCAAAGAAGGGAATATCTGCATATTAATCCCCTCTGAGTGATATATGTTTCCCTGAGTTCACTGACAGAAGAGGATTCTTTCTTTTTACAGGGGCTGGGATTCAACCCTGTGGAGAACCATGACTGTCGCGGTTTTTCCTTTCCAAGTAGCTTGTCAACACAAACCCTTTCCTTTGTGTTCATGTAGCTGATGAAACGATCGTGGATTTAAGATGTTAATTAGCTTAAGTTCGAACCTCCAGTGAGTTTTTCATCAAGGGATGATCTGACCTTGCTTTACGGTGCTATATTTGTGTCTGCCATTATTCATTGATTAATACTATTTTTATCCTCAGGTTCCAAAGGCAGCAAAGGCTTTCCTGGCATTCCAGGACAGCCTGGATTACCTGGATCAAAAGGACAGCTAGGATCTCCAGGAGTAATAGGCTTGCAAGGGGGACCAGGTGAGAGGGGATTTACTGGAGTTCATTTTGTTGTCTGATTGATATCAATACATTCCAGGGCTGCAAGTGTTTTCTGCCCTACAGTGTTGTCTGACATAGAGGACAGAGTAAGAAAAGTGTGACAAACATAATGTCTTTGCAGCTTTGATGCTAGTGACATAAGGTCTACCTGTACCCTGAAATGTCCATCCTTTGTTTCCTTTTTGCCCAATCTGCCATCTAGTGAAACCCGGTGCTGAAGTTTGTACTACAAGTACAAGCTGAGGCTTGTAGTTGCAGCTCCAAGATGCTACTATACTATTTTTTTAAGTATTTTGAATTGATATTTTGTTTTAAACTGTTTCATCACTTTCTGTCTCCAGTTTATTGTTCAAAACAGAAACATTTTGCAGTTCCCCATTTTTTTTTTCTTGCAAGGAGATAGTAAAAAAAAGTTGCTTTTGTTACAGATGTTACTGAAAACAGATATCCCATCCTTTTGCTGAGTAACATTTACTCTTTTTCTCTCTAAGGCTTCCCTGGGCCTCGAGGAGAGCAGGGGTCACACGGACTTCCAGGACTGGATGGGACGGATGGATTGCCTGGCAAGATGGGTGCTCCAGGCTTAGCTGGAAATAAAGGAGCTCCTGGAGAGGTGTTCGGTGCTGAGAGTGGAGCTCGTGGAGAACCTGGTAGACCTGGATTCCCGGGTGATAAAGGGCTGCCTGGGGATCATGGATTTCCAGGACCAAAAGGTAAGCTCTAATACTGTGTATTTCTGGAAATATCAAACTGTTTTTCCTTTCCCTTCTTTTTAACATACTGTCTTAGCAGTCTTTTAAGCAGCTTACAGGTAGGGATTTGGTGACTTTCTCATAGAATTAAATGCAACTTAAAGACTTGTATTAAAATGAACTTTTCAATTAGCAGGAACAATTTTGGTTTACTTGTTCTGTAACCTCCTACTTCTCCATTCCCAGGTGCAGATGGGAGACCAGGCCTCCTGGGCATTAAAGGTGAACAGGGTAATCCAGGATATACAGGCATCCCAGGACTGCGGGGGCCTCCCGGACCTGGAGGTCCTTTTGGCATTAAGGGAAAACCAGGACCCATGGGAGCGGTTGGCCTTGTAGGAGCACCAGGTATGTAATTTCTTCATACAAATACAAGTAGTTGAGCTGAACACTGCAATGTTGAGGAAGTGCAGGAGAGATCTGCCAGTTGCAAGGAGGGAGTTCCTGCCCCTGCTTAGGGATAATTGAGTGCAGAATCTGGGCCGTTGTCCTCCTCTTGTTAAGACTTCTGCCCAGAAATGATGCGTTTGGACTATAATAAGTACAGTAGAAAGACAGGAGAAAGCATCCTAGATGTCTTGATATTATTAACTTTTCTGTTTTTACATACTGGTTGTATGGTTGATAAATCTTCCTTTCCCATTGTCAGGATAATTAATTTCTAATGTATGAGACTGAAATATAGCTTTGGCAGATTGAAATAACTACTGACTTTCTCAACACAAACTTTTTATTCTGTCTTCTACAGCCATGAGGGTGAAGGGAAAATTACTCCCTTTCTCTTCATGGAGAAAATAAACAAATGATAGATTAGGGGTAAAGTGTTATGTGACAGCAATTTATACAAGTCTTCAGAACCAAGCAAGGAGAGACTTGGGAATTAGTGAATCATGGTTCATGAAATAACCCCTTCCCTTTGACAGAAATACCGTTCTGGAACACAGTGACAACATAAATTAAACAAATAAATGAAAGCACTACCCCCATTTGAGATGAACACCATGGAACGAATATCTTAACACTTTTAGTGTTAATATGTCTTTTGCTTCTCTGTTGTTTTACAGTTTTGGATTGCATGAGATATATGTCTTTCCCTTCAACTGTTTTTAAAAACCTTCAATTGCCAGGATGATAAACTCCAAAAGACTAAGATTTTTGCATCTATATTCTCTCTAAATCATTAATTTCTTTTGTATCCTTGTTCTTTCTGTTTACATATTTTATCTGTTTTTTCCTCCGCCATGTTTCTATTCCATTTATCATCAACTCTCCATTTCTGATGTCACACTGTTTGGTTATGGGTTCTTCACATAGGCTGTCAAGGTGAGAAAATGCAGTGTAGCATAAAAGCTCATGGACTAACAACCTATCTTTCAATGCTACAAGAATTGCATTGACTGTAGGTGATACCCCTTATTGTTTCTAATCAAATTAGAAGGCAAGGAACCATTGTAATGAGAATGCTCAGAAGGTATCAAAGTCTGACGCCCAGAAGGAAATCCTTAAAATGTGTACATTTTAAGTATACTTATTTTCTTTTTCTTCTTAAATAAAACAACTATTTCACCTTGTACTTGAAAAAAAAATACTGTGAAGTATAGCTTAAAATGTCTTGGTTACAACAAAACTCATATATTCAGTACAACTGATATAGCCGGTGGCTTCTGGCATGTGTTCTTCTTCTCTTCCTCACTTTGGATATGAGCGTTCTATTTCCAATGGTTTGAGCATTTAGTTAAAATTTATTTAAACAGTTACAATTGCACCTGGATATGTTTTGAATCCTTCAGGGAAAAAACTGAATACACGTGGTGTTGGTTTTGTGACAGCACAATCAGAAGGTTGCTCCCTTACTAAGCAATTTGCTTTTGAGAAATGTTTTAACTACAGAGGTGGAAAAGAAACTTATGAAAACAAACAAACAAACAAACAAAAAAACCACCAAAAAAACACGCCTCTCATGATCTCTCTGGTTCCCCCAGAGGAGGTGGTAGGTAGTGGAAGTTGGCATTAATGATTCTTCCCATCCTGGTTTGTCTGCCTGGATGTTAAAGGTAAGACATGGTTCTCTACACCTAAGTATCTGGTAAAGGAGATAAAAATGCATCATCATAAGGGGTTTCACTCTTGCCATTTGTGTAGTGATGTAGGCAGTAACACTCCTCATAGGTATTTTATTATTAGTTGACTAATGCTTTTGCAGTTCTAAACTTTATGCCTTAGTAGGCTGCATGTGCCTTACAGTCCATCTGTCATATTAAAAACAATGCTGTGCTTAAAGAGTTTGGGGAGAAAAAAAAAGTCCACAAAAGCCTCCCAGTGTTTGTTTGATATGGTCTATTAAGTTCTTGCTTATATTGATTCAGGACTTCCTGGAGTCAAAGGACTGGCTGGAGATACAGGTCCACAAGGCCCTGCTGGGATGAAAGGCTTCCCAGGTCCCGATGGTGCTCCGGGATCTCCTGGGGAACAAGGATTCTCAGGACGACCTGGAGCTTTTGGTCAAGATGGACGTCCGGGGTTCTCTGGGCCAAAAGGTATGAGTATCCGTATCCATTAGGAAAATACATTGTCATGCCCATAAGAAATCTTATCATGCCCATAAGAAGTAACAGCATAGATTTTAGTCCCGGCTTGTTAGAAGTGACAAAGTCCCAACACTAGTTGGAGTGCCTTTGTTTTACTACTGAGTGTGGATTATCAATAATGGATTTAACTGCCAGATCAGGATTGTGGCTGTCCTTATGACAGCCAAAAGAACATGAAAATCAAGATAGTGAGACTAGAGTATTGAAGAAATGAGTAATGGTGAATGAAAGTGATGAAGTAAAGGGAACATCATGGGCAGGAGGGAATGTAGTATGAACCAGATGGGAAGTAAAACTTTACAATATGGACAGCCGTTCAACACCTAATACAACAGTTGGTTATTTTGTGTAATTTCAGGGGAGAGTAATAGAGCTGTGTAACTGGATATCATTCTTTTGGAAATTGAGTTTTGCACTCCAGTGGGAGCAGGACCTCGCACTTGATGGTGAAATAAAAAGTGCTGATTGACAGTATTGAGAGAAGGCTCCCAGCAACAGTGACTGTGCTGTGCTTGCATCCTTGGGGGTTATTTTTTTTTGCCCAGATTTGACTGGGTCTCCAGATCCGTTTTGCCTCTCCCTGGCAGCTCGTTGGGTATGCAGAATACTAGAAGAGACTGATTTTCTGTTTTGTTTCTCATCCTTTCTGTACAGGTGAGAAAGGATCTCCTGGCCTGCTCGGTTTCCCTGGCATGCCAGGCCTGCCTGGTGTTCCTGGCGTGAATGGGTTTAAAGGAACTACTGGCACAACTGGAGGAAGAGGAAGCCCTGGGATCCTAGGACTCCAAGGTCAAAAAGGTAAGAAAGAGTGGAAGAAAAATTGCTGACTGTGTAGCAGAGGGATTAGGAGGCCCTTTTGAAATGTATACATATTTAATGTTTTCTTGTAGATACCTTGACCTGGTTCCCAAAGGTGCTGGGCATCAGTTGATAATCTGAGACTCTGATATCTGGAGACATGAAAGATTCTCAGTAGTTCTCTTTTTGTTTGCCAGCTTTTAATGTTACACTCTTTCTCCGTTAGGCAATGTTATTGAATCTGACTTTATTTCTTCAGGTGACAGAGGTGATGTAGGTCCCCCTGGCCTCCCTGTTCTTGGGCCTTCAGAACAGGCACTGCAATTCAAAGGAGACAAAGGGGAGCCTGGATTAGCTGGACTTGGAGGATTTCCCGGACCTAGAGGTATTTAATATGGTTGTAATAAGTTGCCAGTATTAACTATTCAGGAACTGTGCTTACTCTCAATGAAATGTGATCTATCATTTTGGCAGAGCCTGTTTTCCGTTCTATCATTCATATTCCAGCAAGTTGCATATGGCAACTCCGAGTTTTGAGAAAACAGTTCTTGTTTTATGTTTTTGCTGCAGAGCTAATGCCATCTCTACCTTCTCTTTAAAGGAGCTTTGTGTACAAAGTTAATTGGTCAAATGAGCCAAATGTCTGTATTATGATGTGAAATCATATTCTTTTATGTATTTACGCAGGTGACAAAGGTTTCCCAGGCAGCCATGGACAGCCTGGTCTCCCTGGTCCAACCGGATTACCAAGCAGAGAGAGTGGTTCTCCTGGCGACCCAGGTTTCCCTGGTCCATCTGGACATCTTGGCCTGCCGGGACAGAAGGGTACGACTGGCATCATAGGATTCCCAGGAATGCCTGGAGAGAGAGTACGTATGTCTCCCTCTCTAAACTTGCTTAGGAAAATCCTGTGCTTCTGTATCAGAGTAGCAGAAGTTCGCAGTTTTTTTTTCTTATAAAACTTCCTAATGAATTTGCTTTTGTTTGTCTCTTACTAATGAATGACAGTTTGGCTAACCTTCTCTGCATCTTTGCTATCTGCTCTCTCACATGACCCAAGCTTGGGACAAGGAGAAACAATAAGCAAAATCTAGTCTTGGGTTTTTAATTTCAGGGTTCAGATGGCATCATAGGAACACCTGGGTTCCCAGGAACTATGGGCCTTCCTGGTCCAAAGGGTAAGAAATCTTCCACAGTTTTTGTGCACTTTATACACAGTCCTAAGATTTATGGCTAAAACTAATACGTAGTCCTCTAGAAATTTGTATTGCTCTGCAGTGACTGGCTCAGAAATAGATGTCTCCCTACTAGGTCTTTAATTCAGATGAGACTGGTCCTAAGGCAAGTGCCTAAAGTGCCATCTTCCTTTGAAATCTTGGCCACAGCATGATGTGAGACATGTCAAACAGTACAAGAGGCACCTTCTCTGAGATGTGCTTGCATCAGAAGTACAAATGGCAGGATGCTGTGAAATCACCTGCAAATGTTTGTCTTATTACACCCTGTGTGCATTTTCATCCATTGCTATTTAAAAGTATTTCTAACCTTGGCACATTATTTACTTTTGTCTTTGTTTACTCTATGGATCTGAGTGCAGTGAAAGTGTGTGCTACTGAGCTGCCCTGAAAGGTGCACTCCACAATCAGTTGTGGAATGGTGGTCTTTTCCTTCCTTTCTTTATTATTACTTTTTTTTCCTAGGTGACCGGGGAGATTCTGTTGGTGTTCCTGGCAGTGCTGGAGCAAAGGGAGAGCGAGGGGACCCTGGTTTCCCAGGTGAAGTAGCCCTTGATAGTTCACTTCAGGAATGCAGAATTCTAGGAATCAAGCTAGGATGGCATTGCCAAGTTCAGGGTGGTGGTTATTCTGTGAATAGAAACATTTTAGTCCTGTCCTTTAAGTGGAATTTGAAGTGTCTGCACTCTGGACACCACAAATCTGGATGATAAGGAACATGTCTTAGAACAGCTCAATTGTAGTACTGGATCCCATTTCACTTCTTGACCAGGAACTTGGCACTGGCAGTGGTGTTTGGTGTCTGGGAAACGTCCACAACGTGAGATTAAAGAGTTTCTCATCAGGCCTGCCTCCAGTTTCTCTCTAGCATACTGTATACTTTTATCTTTACAGGAGAGAGAGGGAGAGAAGGGCCCAAAGGTGAACCAGGATACCCAGGAAGCACTGGAGTGAATGGACTCAAAGGTAGTCCAGGAGATCTTGGCCAAGAAGGACCAGCAGGTACTGGAGCAGGCACTTAAGTCCTGCAGTTCGTGCTGTGGAATAGCCTTGTCATTTCATTAGCTCTGCTCAGCCTGTCTCAACTGAATCTCAAAAGAGAAGATTGGCACTGCATTTTCAATCCTATGCGTCAATTGTTGGTGAATTCTGTGCCCTCCAAACACAAAGGAATTCCTCTAAAAAATAAGACCTAACACAAGGAATAGCAACTTCTCTGCAGCTGCCTGTGAGCAAGACTGCTCTGAAATCTTCTTTCAACACTTCAGTTTGTTTGAATTGAAACACTAAACCCAAACTAACCAGAATGACAGCTGCTAGCACCTTGTGTAGTGGTGTGGCTAGCAGGCAGATTAAAATTGAAGGAACAGTGAAAAATTCTATTGTAATATTTTATTTGGAAACCAGTAGATATAATTATTCAGCAGGTGAAATGTTCCAGTCTGTCACTTGGTGGATGATGTACACTGTCAATCAGAAGCTGCAAGACAGAGCTGTGAGCTGTTGCAGCCTGGGTGTACAGTGACACTTTGCTGCTTGTTTTCAGGAATCCCTGGAAATGCTGGACCGAGAGGAATTGTTGGGCCCCCAGGGCCTCCAGGACAGCCGGGATCTGCTGGATTCCCTGGAGCTCGTGGAGCAGCAGGACCCAAAGGTATATCTGGAGCCTGCACATGGGAGGAAAATTTGGGTCAAAAAAGCAGTATTTTGGCCAAGTGTTTCATAGGAGGCAGGCAGCACACTGTGTGGGCCAGCTGTGCGTGGGAAATCAGCTCATCTCTTGGCACAGCTAGTGCAGGCACCAGCTGCTGGAAATGAGCAGAGGAATGTTTGGAACAGCAGAGGCTAGCACTAGATTTGGGTCACTAGAGGGGGGTCACTGAGGGTGAAACCAGTGTGACCAGGAGGAAGAGTTTCCATGAATCGGCCCGTGTGAAGGAAGATGCTACATACTATGCTCCCCTGTGCAGCAAGCTTCTAACACATGGTGTAGCCTGCATGAAATATCTTAGCCATTTCACCTAATGAGATTATTTGCCTATTTGTTCACTTATGTAAGTGTTCTCAATGTTTCTTCAGGGTTTCCTGGATTTCCGGGCTTAAATGGTCTGAATGGCTTGCCAGGCACAAAAGGGTCTCCTGGAACACCAGGTAAAAGAGATGTGTAGTTAGAAGGGTCTTGGCTGGGGGATATGCATGCAGTGGTCCATCGTGAGAACAGCATTCCTCACAAAATTACTTCATTTCACCCACTCTGGATTTAATTATAATAGCATAAAATTTATGACAGGATTTTTATGTATGACAGTGGTAGTTTCTTACTGTACAAAAAAAAAAGAAATCAAGAATGGTCTTTGACTAGACAAAATAATTTTGGTTTGTAAAATTGGCATGATACCTGTGTTTTCTTATTTCGAACATTGTCTTTCAGAAGGTAATGATTTAGAGTGTAGAGATTCTCCATGCTTTCCTGCGTGGGGTTGATGAATACTGGCTCTCACCAGCTTACAGGTTGTTTTAATTTACTGTTCACAACCCGAGTAGCACAAGAATTCTTTTTGGTGCTCTATTGAAAACAACAGAGGGAGTGGTGAATAATTAATTTCATATTTCAGCTCAATTTGTAGAAGATTTTGACTTCCATTAGGCAGTTTAAATAGGCTTTCTTACCTTCTTTAACTATGTGTAATTAGGTCTCAGTGAACCTGGACTGAAGGGTCCTGCAGGTCTCCCAGGTCCAAAGGGTGAAGAGGGTTCTCCAGGCTTTGGCAGAGGAGCTCTGGGATTCCCTGGACCAAAAGGATCATCAGGAGACATGGGTAAATGTCAATGTTGTGAAAGCCTCTTGGGAAATCAGGGTAGTGGGTTGCCCAGTTGGCCTAGGTACCAAAGAGCACCCGTGAAGTCACAGAGGTGGTCAGATAAATGTTAATGACTGATGTAGCTGTGAATCTGAGAAACAGATGACTATATAGTTCTTACAGTGTCAGTACTTCTCCCAGACAGAAGAATGTAGTATTCTGTGTATCTTTTTTCCCTGTTAGGTAGTAGAGAGCTTTTTGTTGTCTGAATCTCTTTATTATTTTCAATATAAATATCACTCAGCCACCAGCAGTTCTGTCCATATCTCCAAGACTATTGCAGAACTCACTTTATATTTCTGGTTCTAGGTCCCCCTGGTCCTATAGGATTACCTGGCTTGCCAGGGACACCTGGAGTTTCTCTTCCTTCTGATATACCTGGGAGACCTGGAGATGCAGGCCACCCAGGAATTGATGGAAGTTCAGGTATGGAGAGACATCTTAAGGTGGAGTACATAGGGGATTTGTGTTGATTTCTGTATTTTCTTTGAAGAGCTCAGGGTTGGGCAATGAATAATGACATTTTAATCATCTGTGATGCTTTAGAATCAGGGCTTGGGCATCAGGGGATCTGGTTTCTATTCCTCCTGTTGAATCATGATTTGGTTCAAGACTGTTATTAAAGCTCTGTAATCCACATTCGTATCAGTTAATGTGAGTTTTAAGACAAACTAAAGCACGAAGACAGATGCTTAGGTCCAGCATATTTTGCCTGAATTTGGATTCTACTGCCATTTTGGACAGAGTTTTATAGGGAGCACCTGCCCTAATTTTGATGCCAAGTATAGTTGGAGAGATTTGTTGTAATGACTTCAGTGCTCATTCATTGCCAAAGAGTCCTGTAGAGGAGGTTGGAACTCTAGGACTTTCCTTGGCCTGAAGCTAGATCTTAGGCTAGGTACCAAGTGCAACACAGAGCTCAGGTCAATAATTTGAAGCAAAGGGAGTGTGGTCAGAAGCATTTAAAGGTTTCTGGGACCTTTAAGCAAGTGCGGACCTGATTTCCTTCCCATTAGAGTAGGACAATCTTGAAAATACAGAAACTCAAATGATGCCTGTCACCTAGAATGAGAGATGGGAGATAGCAGCAGCATTTGCTTTGCTCAGGAACTGATTGTGCTAATTATTGCTGTTGTATCTAGGTCTCCCAGGTCCTCCAGGTCCACGAGGGGCCCCAGGCCCAGCTTCTGATCAAGGTGACACAGGCAATCCAGGTTTTGCTGGTGTTCCTGGCTTACAAGGCATTAAGGGCAACATGGGCCCCCCTGGTCCAGTTGGGCTCCCTGGAGCATTTGGATTCAAAGGTACTCGTGAAAGGGTCCAGTTGTGGTCTGGCAACTGTTATGGTTCCTCCATTTTGCACTTGAAATGCTGTTCTTATTGTCACTATCACTTTGTTTCTCAGAGAGCCCTATTTGTGGGTCAGAATCAGGACCCCATGCTCAGCCTCTGAGGTCTTTTTCTGTGTTGTTGCAGGTGTAAGGGGTGAGCCTGGCCTTATGGGGATGCCAGGTAAAGATGGACCTCCGGGGGATCCTGGTTACCTTGGGCTGAAAGGTGAAATGGGTCGTCGAGGTAAGTACCAGAGGATCTGAACAGCTGTACAAATGGTTCATGCTGGGGTGAATATCCCTTAGTAGCCTTATCTGAGGAAATTTTGGATTCCTAGAGATTGAAATAAATTCATAAGAGCTGGACACAGCACTTATAGAAAGATACCTAGTTCTGATGTATTAAGGTAATCTTAATTCAACATACTTCTCCTTTGTGTCATTATTTTAATTGAAGCTGTGAGTATTCTGGGGAGTACTTATGCTGTCATTTACACTGTGCAGGTCTCCCTGGGCGGCCAGGAGCTCCAGGGATAACCCCACAGCCAGAGAAAATCACAGCTCCTGCAGGCTTACCTGGCTTGCCAGGGATCGATGGGGTCCCTGGCTTTGATGGAGATCCTGGATTCCAGGGCCCAGTTGGGAAACCAGGTAAAGAGCACCTCATTTGGATCATCTGAAATGCTGGGGGATTTCTACATGGGGAATGCTACTTTATCAAATCTACTAGGAAGGTTTACAGGTAATTCTAATTATGGAAAATTATTTCATCAAAGTGCATATAACCAGCATGTTATATAGCCAACATACTCTAATAAATATTATTTTCTTGTAGTTTCATAGTGTTTTTAATTAGGTATTCTAAATTAGGAGCAGCAGCCAGTACTGTAACTGCTATGATACCAGCTTAGGAACAGGCAGATGGAGTGGTCCCAAAAGTGACTCACCTCGGAATGACTTGGATTGGCAATGAAATACTGTAACCAGAGAAGTGCTGAGAACTTCAGTTTGCAGCACTGCAGTTTATTTTGCTTTGCCAGAGACTTCAGTGGTTACAGGATCAAGTCCTGCAGCAGTAGGTTCCACTAGGCCCCATAAATCTCAGTGAATCCTTTTCTGGTACGCAACTTAGGTAGTTACTAGATGTTAATATTCTCTTACATTCATGAAAACTCCTACAGAGAATCCCTCAGCATCAGTCCTTCCCCCTAGATGCTACTCTGATCCCCAGCATGGTGAAGGGAGCTGTGCTGGTGCTGCCTTTCCGTTCTTACGGGGAATAAAGACCCGGGGAGTGAAACATGAGGGAGTATTAATAAAGACACCACCAGCCAGGCAATGAGGTCACGGACACTGTGGAAAACTGTGAAGAGAGAAGATGCCTGGGAAGCCTTATTGTGTCCTTTTACACTATTTTTAATGCTTAATCATTACAAAAGCATTTTGTAATGCGAATGTACACTCATATGTTTCCCAATCACATGTTTCTCTATACTGATACTAACCTTCCACATTACTGACTGCTTGTCAAATATCCAACCCTGTGCAACTGTGTGTGTGTGTGTATATATATATATATATATACACTGTTTCTATATAATCTACCATATCTTTTTTTTTTTTTTAATATTTACTCACATATTTCCAAACGCTAATTTTATCTATGATTCTTGTTTTTCCCATACCAAACCTTTCTGGTTTGAGATCAAGATAATCTTGAGTGGATTTTAAATGTTCCTAGCCAGGTACCTTCTGAGGTCTCCCGTTGAAATTTAGGCCTCTGTATTTTTAGCATCCTTCCCTGCCCTGAGATTTTTCAAAGATTTGTCAGCCAAATTCTCATAATTGAATTTTGGGTTGAAGAAAAAGTGGAGCATAGTTCAAGTTAGAGGCTCCAATTTTATGTAACATTAAGACTGAATATCATTGAAGCCCATCTTCTAGTTTATAGAATGGTGAAAACAAGCAAAAGGAGTGACTTCAAGTCTTAACCAGGACATAAGGCAGGTAGGCACTTCTCTTCTGCTTGCAGCAGACACTGGCAAAACTCTTGTGAAGCAGAAGTGAGAAGAGTTTCACAGTCATCCCTGTAGCTTTCCCCTGACCTCAATGCTGCATTTTCAGCTTTATCTCATTTTCATCTTGATCATTTAATTGACAGTCACAACATGTGCATTGCCTGTATAGAGTTTGTTGTATGTAAATACAGCTGTTCAGTGGCTGCTCACAACATATTCCTTTTCTGATAGTAGCAGTGAAGGCATTAGAATGAGGAGACAATGATGGTAATGATTGTATTTAACTTTAGGTGCAAAAGGTCTGCCAGGCAGATCTGGCTTGAAAGGACACGATGGTTTAACTGGATCACCTGGCATCGTTGGGGATCCGGGACCTTTGGGTGCTCCAGGACCACAGGGGTTTGAAGGTAATTTTATAATTTAGAGAGCACAAATGAAAAAAGCAATCAGTAGAATTCTGTTTGCTCACTGGTTCTGCAGAGACACTGTCCAGCACCAAAGTAATGATCTTAGGAAGACCTGGGCATGTACATGATCTTTTGTTCTGTACAATCCAGAACATCTTCTGGTGGTAATGCTTTGTGGATGTGGGAGACATCTTGAAGAGCAGCATTGTGTTCACAGTGAACATGGCTATGAGTGTGGGATGGCAAAGGAAAGGCATGGTGAGAGAGAGAAGATTTGGGTCCTAACATGGATTTGTTTTACAAATTTTAACCTGTCAAATAAGCTTCACCACCAAGAGCACTATAGTGAAAATGAATTTATTAGGTTTGGCTTTGTTTAGTGTCTTGAGATTCTCAGAATTGCTGTGCTCTGAGATAGAAGCTACTGCTTGGATACTAGCATTGGGGAAGACAAATTTAAATGAGATTGGTTAGATATTAGGAAAAAAATCTACGTAGAAAGAGTGGTGAAGCATTGGAACAGGCAGCAGCCTGGAAGTAGTGGAGTCGCCGCCTCTGGCAGCATTTAAGAAATGTGTAGATAAGAGGCACTTAGTGACATGGTTTAATAGGCAGAGTGTTGAAGGGCCTATGGTTGGACTTGATGATCTTAAAGGTCTTTTCAAACCATAATGATTCTATGATCCTATGAAATGGGGGTGAAATGACTGTGTTTGGAATTAGAAAAGTCTCATCGGTTGTGTAACAGCTATCAAAACTTGAGCTCTTCACTGTATAGGACTGACTTAGATTGACAGCACTGCCAAAACCAGGTGCAGAGCCAGCTCATGTCCATGCTGCCTAATACGAAGTCAATGACTCCTCTTCTGTTTTCTAGGTGTTGCTGGAAAGATGGGCTCCGTTGGTTTGCCAGGAATGCCTGGCCGGAGCGTGGGCGTTGGATACACTTTGGTGAAACACAGCCAGTCAGAGCAAATCCCACCATGTCCCATAGGAATGAACAAGCTCTGGGATGGCTACAGCTTATTGTACGTGGAGGGGCAGGAAAAGTCACATAACCAGGATCTTGGTGAGTTGGAAGAATTCTCCTGGGCACAAACAATGTAGGCCAAAATCTTGTTTAAGAAAATTCTTCACTGGTACCAAAGGCAGTTGTGGAGGACATGGTGGAAGTCTGCCTGACCAGAATCTATACCATAAGCAGTATCTTACTTGTGTACCATGCTTGTACCACGCTCTGCCATTCACACCTGCTGTGTATGAGCCTGAGTGTCTGCCAGGTGCTTGGGTCAACCATTTTGTCAATTCTTGCAGGTTTTGCTGGCTCCTGTTTGCCTCGTTTCAGCACCATGCCCTTTATTTACTGCAACATCAACGAAGTGTGCTATTACGCCAGCCGAAATGACAAGTCCTACTGGCTCTCCACCACTGCTCCCATCCCCATGATGCCCGTGGCGAGCATACAGATCTCCCAGTACATCAGTCGTTGCTCGGTGTGTGAAGCACCTTCCCAGGCTGTGGCAGTGCACAGCCAGGATATCACCATCCCACAGTGTCCTGTTGGCTGGCGCAGCCTCTGGATTGGATACTCTTTCCTTATGGTAAGAAAACTATTTTTTATGCAAAGTCAACTTTAAGCATTTCTAGTTCTCCTTTATTTGGGCTATTGAAACGGATGCTTTTAGGAAACTAGAGCGCTTATAGCTTCTTGCCTTAATGTGTTTCTTCATTGGCTGACCTGCTATAGGCTGAGTTTATTGCCATTTAGCTTCTCACTTGTGCTGTTCAAGTTGAACAGTAACGTTGAAGCAGTAGTTCTGTACTGCCAAAGAAAGATGTTCATTGTTCTGCAACTGTTAAATGCAGAAACACTAACTGAGCTTGAGCATGGTCTTAATCCCCCATCTCTGATGAATTGTTTTTTCCACTGCGCTCTGTGTAACCCAAGTACAGTCCTGTACTTCACCTCTAGCCTGAATCCACCTCATGTGTATTTTGGTTCCCTTGTTTTCCTCCTTTCAACAAAGGATCCCAAGGACTTCCCTGTATGACTGCCTGTTCTGTTCCTTTGAAGGCGTTTAAATATACATTTTTATTTCAGCACACTGCAGCAGGGGCGGAAGGTGGAGGTCAATCCCTTGTCTCACCTGGCTCTTGCCTGGAGGATTTCCGTGCCACTCCATTCATTGAATGCAATGGTGCCAGGGGATCGTGCCATTACTTTGCAAACAAGTACAGCTTCTGGCTGACGACAGTGGAGCAGTCGCAGCAGTTTCTCAGTGCACCTCCCTCAGAAACTCTGAAAGCAGGACAGCTTCGAACACGCGTCAGCCGTTGCCAAGTGTGCATGAAGAACTTATAGGAATAAAAGTGCAAAGTTCAATAGATGTGTTTACTGTGTAAGAGTTTAGACATCACTGATTTGAGGAAAGATAAATACATAAACTTGTTTTGTGTGTGGTTGATGAATGAATCAAGGTGGCCAGAATTCTACCAAAATCAAGTGTCAACTCTGGGAATTTGACTTTACCACGAGGCGTGAGAAACCAGTTCTCTGAAGCCTCTATTTTATGAAACATGGTGCTATGCTTTTACTTTTTATGTTTTGTTTTGTTTTCCATTCACGGCTACCTCAGAAAGTCTCTGTACTTATTCAGATTGAAGAGTAACTATACTGCTTGTTACTTCACTCACCTGTCCCAGACACGTCAATTGTTAACAGAGCTTTTCAAAAGCTGTGTTCTACTTAGAGTCTTTGCAAAAAGCATTTGGTCCAGTGTAAGAGAATCAAGAATCACTTTTCTACAAAATACAGACTAGCTAAAATTAATTACAGCATCACAAGTGGCTTAGAAATAGAATGCATTAGGGATAACTGACTTCTATAGGAAGACTCAAAGATGGAATTTTTCTGCTCTGCTTAGTAATCAGAGGTAACAGCCTCTGGTTCCACTGATATGTGATGAGTTCTAATTCAGTCATATCCCTTGTCCCTAAAGAGCCACCCCAATTAAAACCACAACACTTAATGTGACGATGAGTTCAAAGCCTCCCTCTTGCTCATGGAGCTGTCAGTTGAAATACATTCTAAGTAGAGGCCTGCATCAAGGTCTGTGCTTATCTCCTTGCAGTCAGATTAGCTGCAGCCACACAACGCATGCAATTGCAATGATTATCAGCTTGCTTTCTGAGGTAGCCCTGGCACAGTTTTTTTGTAATTATCAGAGCTGTGTATATTTAAAAAGTAGGGTCTTTACTAGATAACATGCAAGTTTATGCAAATATAGAAACAAGCAGTTATAGGATGTACATTTTTTACTTCTACAATACTTCTAAAATATGTTGTATTCTTTTTTGGACTTCAATTCTGTTAGTTAAAAAAATGAGAAAAATGTTGTTTTCTAATGCACTGTCACATTGTCACACTCCTTCACAGCATTATCAAAGGCAAGTGCCACAAGTTGTATTTTCCTAGAATATTTTGAGAGCCATGGAAAACAAGTGTGTGCTAATATCAATTATTTCAGTTAAGCTGAAGTTATTATTATCAACTTATATTTCCACAGTGAAGTGTGTGACGTTTTTTATAGGAACATTCCAAAACCTTTGGGGGAGGGATTAAAAAAAAAAGTGCCTTGCCAACACGCTCTGACCTTGCTTTACTAGGCCTAGGGGTCAGTCTCTGTCTAGTGAAATACTTAAGAACATGCTTCTTTTAGCAGCTAATACAATGTTTTTACTTTTAACAATTATTTACATGCATAATATAACTGTAACTTCCTGGATCAAGGGTCAGAGCTCTGCATGTACTTGAGGCACAGTGGAGATGAGCAGAGACTCTGCGAAGAATAATTTAGTCTTTCATTTCTTTCTACTTGCAAAAGATCTTCAATCATTTGTATGTATTTTGTGAATATCTTTAAAGTATATTAATGCTATGGAGTAATAATGCATTTATGCAGGGCACTGAATCTGCCTTTTGGCTGTCCCTGCACAGAAAGATGGCACTGCATTTACAGCTTAGGTTGTGCAAGTGCAACTTCAAATCACTGTCTGCACCATGAAGGTCGCTGCGCAATCTGCACAAATAACTGGCTAAAAAAATCACTGTAGCTTCCCACACTGTGCTCCCTCAGTGCCATCAGAAGAGCTGTTGATCCTGTATTGGGTTAACAAGGACCTGGAATAATTTTTGAACTTGGATACATGGAAATACAAGTTTATATTATTTCCAGAGAAATTTCCTTGAGAATTGAATGAGAATTCCCTCATGCATTTCAAGCCTTACTCTCCTCTAAGGAGTTGCTTCTAGTGCAATATCGTGGCTTGTCTGATACCAGTGTCCAAACTTCCATCAAGTTCAACAAATTTGGCCTCTTTTCCACCCTGTTTACCCATAAGCCTTCTCACTCACATATACAGTGTGATTAAACCCCTGTCTCCAACTACTCTTCCATACAGCCCAAAGGTTGATCTGCATTTCTGGCTAGGAGGGAGGAGCAGTAATTCAAGCTGTTACATAAACAACAGGTAAGGAGTAAAGCTAAGGAAAAACAAACAAAAAAACTCATGTAGCTAATCCCTGGAGAGGAGGAAAAAATATCTATATTTTGTGAGTGTTTAGTTTCCAAACTGTGGTTAATAAACATTGATGGCAAACAAGGTGTTAACTACGGTCTGCTTAACTGTTTTCTTTGTCATTGTCCTAGCCCTGATCAGGAGGTGCAAGTGAGAGGAGACGCATTCAGTGTTTCTCGATGTTGTCATTTATTGGTGAAGACAAAACTTTGTGATTCATTTTTATTACACTGACATGACAAAACTGACCATAACGGGGACTGCTTGATAGTATATACTTCAGAAGGGCTTAAAAGATCTTCGCATTTAAATCTCTTTAACTGTTTTCTGATGGCCACTAGAGAGAGACTCTGCCTTAGAAATATAACTGCAAATGCTGTTCTGTTAAACCTGGAGAATTAAGGCACTTTTATCAAAACAGATTTCAAAAGGCAACAAGTCAAATAGTAAATGTGTATCTATATATTAAACTTTAAGATAACTTGGTTTATATTTATTTCACACAAATGACTTAACAAAATATAGCAGCATACCACCTATGAAAAGCTTAAGAAATTTATTAGATGCACAGATAAAGTGCTGTAACAGAGAAACACTTGTGTAAATCTATTTTAAAATAAATAAGGTACAGTTAAACCACTTTTGACTCATTTTAGCTCTGAAAGAAAAATCAACATCAGTTTTAATGATTTGAATCTTAAGGTCAAGATGAAATATCACTAGAGCAGTGGTTGTGATGTACAGCAACTATTTGAGTCTCCTGTTCTTCTTGAGGTCTCCCAGAAACAGGAAGGCTACTGCAAAATGTATACATTAGATATAGTTCCTTTTACAGAAACATTTTTGTAATAAAATGTGGTTGCTCAAATACATGTTAAAATATTTAACAAGGAAACAATTTTCTCCTGATCCAGCCCATCTTTTAAACAAGACAATGTATTTTTCCTATGATGCAGCCCACAGGAGGGAACAGAAGTAAACATCCTCCTTAACTCAAGATTGTTTTGCTTGAGGAACTAAGCTATTGCATTATTATATGACAGCAAGAAATAATCCATTTGGGTTATCCCTTTCTCCAAGCACAGAGCCTAACACTATACAGGTTTTTGCCTTAATCTCAAAGGTCCATTGGACTTCAAGTAAGACACACTCTAAAAAGAGATTCCCTTTAAGTGTCTTATTACAAGATCTTTTACTGTCTTTCCAGGGAAGCTCTTGTTAAACTGCCACTGTCGGATTTTGGATATTTCTAGGCTTTTGTGCTCTGTTACCCATAATTTCAGGCACTTTGGGGCTAACATGGCTGTTTGCTTTAACTCAATGCAACAATATTACCACTATATTCAACACACAGAAGAGTCACACAGGTGCCTTCATACACTCAGGATCTCAAATTCTTCTTCCAATTCAAATAGCTTGTCAGTAGATTCGATGAGTTCTGCAATAAGAACAACAACAAAAAAAGACACTGAATTTGTTTACTGAAACAAAGAAAAATTTTCCTTTGAAGGAAACTTTTAAGAATGGTATTTGGTAAGAGTTCAAAAAAAAAATCTGTGCTAGTGATCACATATGGCTGCTCACAGAACCAATACTATGTAAAAATAAATCACATGTTGACTGCTTGACACTGACTAAGCCATAGTGATAGCACCCATGATTATTCTTCTGTTTTGCTAGTGAGGGACAGACTGCTGCACAAATGTATTTTCAAATCAGTACTCTACCTGCTCCTGTTGTCGTCACTTCTGGTTTTGTTGGAGGTATGAAAGGAGGCCAGTGTGGTGGGTGCTTCTGGACTAGCTCAAACATCCGAAGACTCTGTTGTTTTAGAATCTCCTGAGGATGGGATACTCTCATTTTAAAAGATGCCTCAAAAAACCTTCAAATCCTAAAAGTGCTTAATTAAAAACATTTTTTTAATTAAAACACTTTTAAATTATGTATGTTTATCAGAGACTGAGGCTTTATGCAGAAGGACAGTGAAATCCTGTTACACTTTAACTACCTGCCATTATGAATCAGTACATCATGGATTCTTTAATGTAAATTTTTCATCTCAAGGAAAGCTTAAAGACAGGTCTTTTCACATTTGCTAGAAGTTATCAGTGTGTTGTAAAATACCACTTATTTTGTTTGCATGTAGCAAACAGGCACCAAAAGTGTACAATATTTTTAACCTTCTAAAATCATGTGCCTGTAACTCTATGCTTGTTTGGCACTGATCAGTGGGAACACAGGAACGATCCATCAGCTCTACAAAGTGGCAGATTTTGAAGGACAGGTTTTGATCGAGAGAAGCCATATTTCACTCCAATCATATGACTGACTTCAAGTTCTGTATCTCAGGGATTAGAAACTGCTTTAATCAAGATACTGTTACCTCTTCAGTATTTTGTTGTTTTGTTTTTCCAATAAACGCCATTAGAAGCTGATGTTACTTGACTTTCAAACTTCTCTTGCTTAGTAAGCCAACCACAGAGGGCAATGACTAATAAACTGCCTGTCTCAAGTACTTATCCTATGACAGAAAGCACCGTCTGCCTCCCCAGATCAGCAGAAGCTGTGGGGATTCTGCGTGTAACAGATTAGATGTTTAGAGGAACAGGAACTTACGTTCATAATTAGAATAAGCAATAATATATACAACAATAAAAAGTACCATTAAGCAAAACAATCACTACAAGATGACATTTAAAAATAGTACTAATTTAGTGAGTCGGGTTTTTTTTAAGCAAGTTTCAGCTGTTACAGAAATAGTATTAAAAAGTCTTGTTAACAGTGTATGTTTGTACCCATTTTCCAGCTGGCAGGATGTGTGGTGTCAAAGTGCCAAACAGCCTTTTTTTAGCATTTCAGTGGCTGATGCACTAATGCATTCTTCTGTATGGCTCTTTTAATTAGCAAACAGGTAAGGATCTAATTAGAATTTTCTTTTATTTAAAAAAACCCACAGTTTTATATAGAGCCAATAAAGATAATAAGATTCTACTGTTACCTTTTGTACAAGACTACACCAGTTATCAAAATCACATTCTTCTTTGCAAAAGAAGCCCTGAGAAAAAAAAAGAATTAAATACTTTTTAATCTTGTGGATTATAAATATGTGACACTAGCAAATGCCTAATTTCACCACTATTTTGTTAAGAGCTCATGTGACCGTTAATATCAGAGCCAAAATATATTGTAGCTCTAGGGAAAGGTCCCAAGAGTGGAAGAGGGCCCTACTGAAAAAAAGTTAATGCACGAATACCAACAGCCCTGGCATGCTCCTCCCTGGAGCCACAGCCCATTGCAACAGCTCAGGCATCAGCAGAAGTTGACACCACCTACAAGATGAACTGCTGCTTATGGGACAACTTCCTTGTGGTGCCTGTATTGTAGACTCTTATTCTTCACTACGGTTACATCTGATTCACTGTGTTCTTTCACATTTTGTAAAATTAAATATTAAATAAGGAAAAGAACACACTTTCCAAAAGGCAATAGTATTAAATAAAAACAATGAGTGGTTGATGAAGGATGCCAGTATCTCTATACATTAATTTTAAGCTTTAACAATATAGTTTATAGGAGAGGTTCTCCAGGAACCTAATCAAGTGAAATCGGCATCAGATCAGAATTAGTCTCTTTAAATATCACAGTTTCCTTGTGACATATTTTGGATGATTACTACAAATAATTAAAATTTTTAAAAAATTGAGTTATTATATTTATTGTGAGTTATTATTGTGAGGTATATAAAAATAATAACTTGTCTAGAGTGATAAAATAAAATAAGGAGCCTTAATTCAGTTCCATGCTTTGGCTAATAATACCTCCTGCAAAAGGTAAAGGCTGCACAGTAAAGAAATTGAAGTATTTCCCCTAGGATATAAGCAGACAGTTCCCTACTTGACCTAAGTTTATAGAATTATCTCTCTCTATATATATATATATTTATAATATAGACTTTATAGAGTGAATTCTGGATTGTAGGAAACTGCTCTGTGATCTTATTTCTGTTCAAGGAAGTGCATTAGTGCCCTTATCACTACAAAGAGCTATTACTGTGAAATAAAGTATAAGTATCTATTCTTGCTTAACACCTACTAAAGCTACTGAAGGATCCAAATTCATGATCTTCATTCTGTGTGGGGCTTGCTGGCAGTGGAAGCTCTGGTCATCAACTGTACCATTTTCTTCTGAATCTACAAAGCTTTGAGTGGTGTGAGGGTCCAAATAGATCAGCTCATTGCCTGTACGGGTAGAATCAGTTTGTTGATTATATTCAAGTGAATGATACGCACTTGGTACAGTGCAATAACAGTTACATTGTCATTACTGTCAACATTATTTAGACTTTCTAGGTTGCTATTCTATAAGAAAATTAGAAAGTTTAGACAAAAATTTCCCACAGTGTATTTGGTATAAATTTCTGTTGTGAAATATTACTGTTGTGGGGTGTTTGTTTGTTTGTTTGTTTTGGTAGTTTAACCTTTATTGCATACTTTCCTTTTTCTATATGAAATTCAATACTTAAAAAAATCTTAAATGTTGTAATCCCTAAGACTGCACTGATCAAAAAGTACAGGATGGCCACAAATGAAAGCTCTAATCTCATTAGGCATTCAGTCAGAAAATCAGTACAGACTTTGTATTTGAAATACAAGAAAATCATTTCAGAAAACTGTTAAGCAAAAGAATAAAACAAGAGACTATTCATCAGGAAGCAATTCAGGCTTAGGAACTGTAATAAAATTTTTGTCCTTACCTAAAAATCCTATGAAATAATAGGCATTATTTGGTTTCCCTCCTAATGCTCCCAAAGACTGTGGCATCTTAA